ATACTGTTCTCTAACTGGTGATGCAACACTGAAATTTAACTTTGCATAAGGTCTCAACCATTTCCGTGTGGTCAGGACTAATCCCAGCAGCTTCCAGTCACAGAGAAACCACAGAGCAGGTCTTACAGCCGCGGTTATGGCCAGACTTAGCCGCTCTCATGCTAATGTGTGTGGCATGCGTTTGCGGCTGTATCTCGTTAAGTGGGAACATGGGAGCTAATCCAGGGCACGCTGTGTTTCCCCGATCCTCCTCCTCCTCCTCGAGTCCAGAACCTGAGCCCTGACATGGAGACTACAGCCGCAGACTTGAACTCCACTTGGCAGAACCAGCTGGACATTCTTTTCCTTTTGATTACGTGATGTCGACCGGTATCTGGTTCCAGCTTGGCCAATTTGGTACATTTCTGTCGGACCGGCCTGCATAATGAAGGCATTGGTTATATCATTGGGACATTCTCTCTGCCATCTGCTTTCTTAGTGACAAATCAAACTTACAGCTAATTTCTTAATACTAATAATGATAATAAGTCAGTTGTATGCAACCAATCTGTGCCCTCAACCCCTCCCACTAGCACCAACCAGTCATACATACCAGACTCATGCTAACGTGGGTATCTAAGTGTCTCGCTCAAAGGCCTAATGTTCCTAGAAGTCTCCAATCACATCACTAACCAGGGCCTGCCCTGCTTAGCTTCAGAGGTCTCCCATGATCTGGCTTTCACCATGCAGATATGCAGAACTATCCAATGAGGACGGTTCACGCAACAACTTTCTCCAGATAAAATCAGACAAAATACAGTATTTAGCCCAAGAAACAACACTACTAGAATTCTCAGAGCAGTCATTTTGACGGCTCCCGTTAAAATCAATGGGATTCTGAAACAAGCAGATTTCAGTGTAAGTAATATATGAGAGTTTTTACTTTACGAGGTGTTAAAACTGGTGAATATAATCAGAATACATCAAAAACAGGTCGCTAAATGGCGACTGAATGCTAACTGCTGTCATGTAAATGGTGTGTTGCTATGGTAACCAGCACCGGCTCTTCTCTGGTGGAAAAACGAAAGCCCTGTTTCCACCAGCAGTCCGACTCAGCACTACTCCATACACTTCCCTTCTCTACTCTCCCCTGATTGGGAGTGTTTCCACTAGCCCTGTGTAACCAGTACCAGGTCCTTCTTTAGTCCCTCTTGGTCCTGTTTCTATCCAGGCCGAGCTGGTGCTGGAGTGTTCTGACTGACAGTGATTGGCCAGAGTGCTGCTGGAAGCCATGGCTACCAAGGAATTTTTCCGCATACTGGTTTGTTGTGGGTATAGGTTTTAGGATACATGCAAAAGTGTAATGGAAACTCTATACAGGTAGAGTAGAGCCGAGTATGGCTGGTGGAAACGGGGCTATACTGACTCAGCTTAGAATCAGAACCAGTCCAGGACCATTCTGAAGGTTCTGGTTCTGGTCCTGGACTTGTTCTGGTCCATCTTGGTTCTGGTCCAGCTTGGTTCTGTAGAGCAGAGCAAGTGGTAAAGGCAAAAAAAAAAGAAAAAACACCAAATGTTGGCTTTTACAAAAACGAAGGCAAAACTTACACACTTTTTTCTGCGATTTTGTCAGAATGCCATCAATTTGAATGGGAGCCGTCAAAACGACTGCTCATGCGGCTCTAGTAGTTTGATAACAGTGTGAGTCCGGGTGTTAATACAGTCAGTAACCCGGTCTCTAACACACTGACCCGCTTCCTCTGTCCTGGCCGCCTCTTCACACCGAGCACCCATCATCTCTGCACCTACACTTGTGGTTTTGTCACCTCTTCACTCCTGCAGCACTTTATCAGTCTAGTCTTGCTGCTTAATATCACTAACGACAGCGTCCACTCGGCTATTTCTGGTTTTCCCTGTGCCACGCTTGTTCTGTAAAGAGACCCGAGTGTTGGATGTGTTAAGAAAACACTTATACATATATACACTGCAAAAAGTGATGAATAAGCCAAAAAATGCTCAAATTTGGCAACAAAATTATTTAAATTTGACCACATTCTGACTGGCTTAAAACAACAAATATAGATGGGACAAAGCAAAAAAAAATACAAGAAAATAATGATGAATAGGTTTTATATTGCACGTTTTTGGACGCTCAAAGACACTGTCCGTATTTGTTCACCCCATACAGTGGTGATAAACTACTACCATAGCCACAACTGCCCTGGGGCACACTGACAGAAGTGAGGCAACCAGTCTGTGTCATCAGCCCCTCCCATCAGTGTCTTGCCTAAGGGCACAACCACAGTTTGGCACTTTGTAGCCGCCCCAATGTGGCACCTTTTGTTCACAAAGGTCTCCCATCACAACACTAACCAGGCCCTGCCCTGCTCAGCAACAGAGTTCTCACAGTATAAATGTCTTTGTTCCTTTGGTGAATCTTGTTTTAACACAGAATGAGCTCATATTAAGACAAAAACACTCAATTCAAGCCTTCACTACCTCACTTTTTTTTTTTTTTTCAGTGTTGTCTGAGGTTTGACAAAGTTAAACTTGATGAAATAACTGTTGAAAATGTCTTCTACTTTGGCCACTTGTCACAACGAGAAAAGAATAAGTGAATAATCTATGCATGTGTTGATTTATGTATATTTTAGTATTTTATTTTGAAACATTATAAGAAAACTGATCCTTTATTTGTCCAACAGTGGGGAAATGTCAGTGTTGCAGCGCACATACAGGACAGTAAGAGCACACAGGGAGCACACAAAATATACAATATTAGTATGTGCATATGTGTATTAGCTACCTGTTTCTTAGAAGACAAAAAAACTAAATACAGCTTAAATAATAAACACGGAAAACGTACATAAAAAATAAATAAAAAATCAGATTTTAGCGCTTATTTGGACACGCAAAGACGCTTCACATCTGTATTCATTCACTCCGTGCACGGTGGTGATAAACTACTACTGCAGCCACAGCTGCCCTGGGGCACACTGACAGAAGCAACGCTCCTATAATTGAACCGGTCATTTAATAATGAATCCGTGTGGATCATCAAGACTGTTGATCCTCCTAATTATAAATCATAGGGATACTTGCTCATCAAAAACGACCAGAGTTTTGTTCAAAATGTTGAGAAGGCGGTTCTCTCCTAAAATTTGGGATGATCTTATTGTCGTTTTTATATTTTTTTTGTCTGTTATGTCCATATTTTTGTTCTATTTTTGATTACAAATTTAAATAATAATATTTTTTAAAAACACACACACAAAAAAAGCAAATAAGTTTTATATTGAAAGAACGTGACCGGAAATCCCAAAGTCAACAAAGATGGCGGCGATGCGACTGGAAGTGTTGCTCGCGATGTAGCTTCTTCTCTATTGCTTCAAAAGTCTGATTTAACTCATCTTACCTCGCCGTGTGTCTTATATAACTAAAGGTAAGCGTAAACAGCAGCTGTAGCAATAGTATTGTTAGCAGCAGATCTGAAATTAGCACATGTTTTAGCAGCTCTTAGCTCAGTCCAGGCGTGACGTCAGATGGAGCACGTTCAAAACAAAATGGCTTCGGTCACTACTAAAGGCCTTGTTTACAGCCGCGTTCCACAAATGCAGTGTTTAAACCTAGCCAAACAGTCTTAAACCTGTGCATGTGACATCACTTCTATTTCGTGGTGAATATTTATTAAATGAGATGTTTTCGAGTCGCGGACAGATTGACATGGGATCAGGCGTTGGCTATGGCCCACTGAAAATCTTCTAAAAGCGTGTTTATTTATGCATGTAGGAGTAAGTAAGTAAGTAAGTAAGTAGTAATCTTTATTTATATACCACCTTTTCACTGCACATCGGAGTCTCAAAGCGGTTTACAATTGTTATTTTTGGGAGTGGGGGTCGCCAGTACAGGAGGCACATGCCAGACCTATTGTACATATTTTTAGTGGTAGGGGAAACCGGAGCACCCGGAGGAAACCTACGCAGACACGGGGAGAACATGCAAACTCCACTCAGAAAGGCCCTGGTCCAACCGGGATTTGAACCCAGGACCTTCTTGCTGAGAGGCGAGAGTGCTATCCACTCAGCCACCGTGCCGTAGACAGGGAATTTGCATAACACGTGTATTGCAGAGACAGGACATGACTATTTGCTAGTTTTGATCCGTAGTCGCTGGGCAGAGGCAAAGTGACAGCAAGTTGACGGCGTGCAAGAGAAATGGAATGGCCTAGTCAGCATGAAAAATGAACCACAAAGGGACACGATATATACAGGTTATACACCACACAGTTATTTACTCTATGCTTAATGACTGCACATTCTTTGAGCCATTTTTTTAGGCTTTGACAGAGAAGCAGTTCTGTCTAAAGTTCTCTTGACGGTCTCTGTGTAGACGTGGCTCTGGAAGTAGCTTGTGAAGAGAATAGCTACAGATGCAGAGGTCTGGGATCATGTCTCAGCAGAATACGTGTTTCTTTGACCTTCAGCAAACCAAAACATCAAGTGGAAAAGTACTGACTCATGCAGACTGTTGCATTGAGCTGCTCAGTTGTAAAGGCATGGTGATGCGCTTGTGCAACAGTCAGAAGGTCCTGGGTTCACTCCCACCTCCAGGCCTTTCAGTGAGTGTGTGTTTGTGAGCAAATATTGCGGTTCGATTCTGTGATATATTGCAATCTAGAGTCCCTCGTAGCAGACGTCAGAGTCACAACAAGCAGACATCATAGAGTTATATAAACCTCTGGAGAGAACTCGGAGAAAACACAAGTGAAACTGATAATGATTTAATGAAAAAAAAGATCCATGGTAGGATAGAAGCATCAGATATTATTGATAAACTACAGAATCAGATGATCCATGAAGCTAGCACAGATTGTCTCACAGTTTCCTGGTGTTGTGCAGTAGCCCGGGTACAGACAGAGTATTCGACTGCTGTTGTGTGCATCCGTGTGAGAGAATGTCCTAGAATACAGTTTGGTTTGTTTCCTCTTTTCTCGTGTGCTGTGTCTTTTATTAATCTGTAACATGCTTTTTCTGGACAATGGTAAGATAGTGAAACTTCATGCAGAAGTCATGAACTGGGAGCACTGAAATCTGGTATACATTATATACATCATATGCATTACGTCTGCATTTTGGTGTGAGGTTGTGTGATGTCCTGGGGTTGTAGCATATTGTTACCCAGCCAAGGGGAGGTTAAGATTACAAACTATTCTGATACTAAGGTTTTATGCAACAATATAATATAATACTTTTAATTTACTAGTTACAGTCTCTGCTAAGATCTGACTTTTGATTTGTTTGAATCCCTGGATTGAATGTGATGTAGGAGGGTTCTTGGCGGGGTATGCACTCTCAGAGTGCTTTTGTTCAGTAATACATGTGTTTTTTTATAAACCAAGCTCCTCACACAACCACACCACAAAGTGACTCCTCTTCAACTCTGTAAGACACAGCATTTATATCTGTAATAGTTTTTCTGTTTTTCACCTCACAGCTTGGCTGTGCATACAGAAAGCTATTTCCCGTCGCTTTGTTTGGAGTCCAGCGCCCCCTTCTCCGTAGCTCTGCGGCTCGCTCACATAGAGACTCAGGCTCAGATCGCCCTTCGGCAGCTCACTGCTCTCGCCGCTGCGACCTTTGCCTCCAGCAGACTCATTGCTGCGTTCGCTCCTCAGCGAGCCGTTCTGACTCTGAGCACGGACTCAAATCACAAACGTATCAGAGACACACTGGTCATGTACCACCACCACCACCATCAACAGCAGCAGCAGCAGGGGGCGCAGGCCTTCTCCAGCGCACCCCGGCCTCCGAACCAGTCTCCGGTGCGGCCCCAGGGGGACATGATGCCTCCTGCCGGGACGTATCAGTTCCCCCGCCCCACGCAGCTGCCGGCCGAGCTCGAGTCCGCTCTGTCCATCCGTGGCTCTCGCGACATGGACCATCGTCTCATTGAGCACCTGGAGCGACTGAAGCACCACCAGAACCAGGCAGCTGCCCGCGGACTCAACCAACACGGAAACTACAGCACCAACCTGTGCGACACGCAGCCCAAACAGAACATGGACTGGTCCAACTACGAGCCACCGTCCAAGATGTTCGCACCGATGAGCGGCGGTCACGGTGCAGGTTTACCAAACTGGAACGCTCCCATGGGAGAGGCGCCGCCGCCCAGAGCAGAGGGCAGTCGCAGCTTCTACACACCAGAGAGCGCAGGGACCATTCTGGCCAGTTTTGGACTTTCTAACGAGGATCTGGAGGCGCTCAGTCATTACCCGGACGACCAGCTCACTCCGGACACTCTGCCCTTCATCCTGAGGGACTTACAGGTCCATAAGAAACACACGTCCTCGCGCTCGCCGGAGGTGCCCAGCCTCCTCACTGTCACTCAGACCGAGGGCAGAGTCATTGACTATGGCCACGCCAGTCAGGCCAAGGATGAGAATGGGCCCCCGAAAACATACAAGAAAGAGCCCATCCCAGTGGAGAGGACTGTGAAAATGTACCCATCACCTGCTCCCAAACTGGAGGCGCGGCAGGTGCGGCTGCAGCCGCCAGAGTCCATCAAACACGGAGACAGAGACTATCGGCGCCGCAGCAGCGAGCACCACTCCAGCCGCTCGCCGCCGCCTCGAGACTTTTCCACCGCCGCGAAACCTCGGCACGAAGACCGCGACTACAGAATGGAGCAGCCCAAGCCGAGAGCCTCAGCCGAGAAGAGGAGCGCAGAGACGATGGTGTCCAAACCTTCGCCTTCGCCGCGACAGAAGCAGCCTTTCCTCAGAGAAAAGCAGCTTCCCCCCAGAGCGAAGCCTCCTCCCAGAGCCAAACCTCAGAACTTCAGAGAGAAGGCACCGGCCAACAAGAAGCTGCCCACGCCCACCATGATGAGCGATTTCTCTGGGGTTCTTCCCAAGGTCTACCCTCACACCTGCTCCTTGTGCGACATGAGGTGTGATCAGGAAAAGGTGAGTGCCAAACAACGCAGTGACGAGTCTGCTTTCTGTCTCAATGACCCATGGCAAACATGGTGTGAATCATATCTATACGGTAAAATTATGTTTTTTTTTCAAGATAATTCTTTAAAACAAGTTTGATTTAAAGATAAAAACACAGGAGAGATAAACTGGTGAATTGGTGCACGGAAATGTTTTTTTTTTAGCTTCAATCTAAAAGTGATCGGTTTAAGTGACAAGGAGACAGAAAATTAATGACATCGATATTAGACAATACTGATGTCGTATCAGCCAATTTTTCAAAATCAAATTATTAACACAGTCTGGGCAATAATTTGAAACAACAATTATTTTATAATTATTTGTCTACTGTACAAAACTCAGGCTTTTGACTTGAATTTTGACATAATTTTTTAAAGTTGAAATCTGCATCTCTTACCTGGGAGACCTATAAAGTCTTTTGTGTAAGGAGAAAGCCTCCGAACCAGCACTGGACCCGGCCTAAACCTGGACTGGACCCGGCCTAAACCTGGACTGGACCCGGCCTAAACCTGGACTGGACCGGCCTGTAACTGGACTGGACTCGACCTGTAACTGGACTGGACTCGGCCTGTAACTGGACTGGACTCGGCCTGTAACTGGACTGGACTCGGCCTGTACCTGGACTGGACTCGGCCTGTACCTGGACTGGACTCGGCCTGTACCTGGACTGGACTCGGCCTGTACCTGGACTGGACTCGGCCTGTAACTGGACTGGACTCGGCCTGTACCTGGACTGGACTCGGCCTGTACCTGGACTGGACTCGGCCTGTACCTGGACTGGACTCGGCCTGTACCTGGACTGGACTCGGCCTGTAACTGGACTGGACTCGGCCTGTAACTGGACTGGACTCGGCCTGTACCTGGACTGGACTCGGCCTGTACCTGGACTGGACTCGGCCTGTACCTGGACTGGACTCGGCCTGTACCTGGACTGGACTCGGCCTGTAACTGGACTGGACTCGGCCTGTACCTGGACTGGACTCGGCCTGTACCTGGACTGGACTCGGCCTGTACCTGGACTGGACTCGGCCTGTACCTGGACTGGACTCGGCCTGTACCTGGACTGGACTCGGCCTATACCTGGACTGGACTCTGCCTAAACCAAGTCTCAATCAGCGTCTTCTTAGTAGATATTAGAAGTTATTTGGTTCTTCTACACCAGCCTTGACATGTTTGGACGGGATGCTTCCGTCTTCCTCAAAAGCACAGTCATCCCAGTTGTCCTTGTGGTTTACTGGGCTGACTGCGCCCCCTGCTGGCTGGGGGTCTCTGGAGAAGTGAAACTCGTGTTCAACCGCTTCTGAAGAAGAACTCAGATTAGAGCCGCTGCTTCTTCACGTTGAGAGGAGCCAGTGGAGGTGGCTCGGGCATCTGTTCTGGATGCCTCTCTGGGGAGGTGTCCTGCATGTCCCACCAGGAGGAGACCAGGGGAAGACCCAGGCACCGTGGCCCCATGTCTCTCAGCTGGGAACACCTCAGGATTCCCCCAGATGAGCTGAAGAAAGCGGAAGAAAACTGATGGATGGATCTTAAGTTTGTCTGGTGTAGAAGAAACAAATAATCTAATTCACAGACACATAATCTGACAGTCTCTCATCTTTCCTCTCTCTCCTCTCTATCCTCTCTCTCTCCCCTTCAATCTCATCTCTCACTACTCTCGTCTCCTCTCTCCCCTTTTATCTTATCTCTCGTCTCTCTTCTCTCTCTAATATCATCTCTCCCATTTTTATCTCCTCTCACTCTTCTCTCTCACTCTTCTCTCTCACTCCTGTCAGTCCTCTCTCTCTCCTCTCCTCTCACACCTCTCTCAGTCCTCTCTCTCCTCTCCTCTCACACCTCTCAGTCCTCTCTCTCCTCTCCTCTCACACCTCTCTCAGTCCTCTCTCTCTCCTCTCCTCTCACACCTCTCTCAGTCCTCTCTCACTCTCCTCTCCTCTCACACCTCTCTCAGTCCTCTCTCTCCTCTCCTCTCACACCTCTCAGTCCTCTCCTATCTCACTACTCTCTCCTCTCACCTCTCCTCTCACTCCTGTCTCCCTCTCCTCTCATTACTCTCACACCTCCCTCTCCCCTCTCTCACTCCTCTCTCACTCATAACACTCAACACTCCTCTCACACCTCTCCTCTCAGTCCCCTGTCTCCCTCTCCTCTCTCATTACTCTCACACCTCCCTCTCCCCTCTCTCACTCATCCCTCTCCTCTCTCTCCTCTCACACCTCTCTCAGTCCTCTCTCCTATCGCACTACTCTCTCCTCACCTCTCTCCTCTCACTCCTGTCTCCCCCTCCTCTCTCTTTACTCTCACACCTCCCTCTCTCACTCATCTCACTCATCTCTCACACCTCTCTCCTCTCTTACACCTCTCTCCTCTCACTCCTGTCTCCCTCTCCTCTGATTACTCTCACACCTCTCACTCACTCTCTCCTCTCACTACTTCTCTCTTCTCTCCTCTCTCCTCTGTGTTTCTTGTCGCTCGACTTTCAGCTGAAACTCTGTGAAGTAAGAGCCATATTTTTTTAACATTGTTGATAATAAAAAAAAGCAACACGACAAAAAACAATCAGATTTCAAATTATTGCCACTTGCAGAAAAAACTACACTGGAATCCAAAAAAGCTTTCTTTTTTTCTACCTTTTTTCCCCGGCTCTATCAATTTTCAGCTCTGTAAGTAAAAAAAAAATGGTTAAGAATGTGATTAACCGTTGTCTTATGTTAGAAGGACCATCTGGTTTTTTTTAGTTCAAACTAATTTGCAGTACTTTACATTGACAAGCTACTTATTCCCTCAGACTTGCATAAAGCCCCGGGATTTTTTTTTTTAAGAACGTCCGGAAACCCAAAAGTGTGTTGAATATCTAATCTGTCAATAATGAATTCTGCATGACTGGTTCTGGGTAGACATTTTGTTTTTTCACCACTCGTTTTGTTACTTTGGGTTTTTTTGTGTGTGTAATTTTCAAAAAGTTGTGGCCGTCATCGTTTCAACCTCTGTACATGTCAGTTTGTGTAAAAACCAAAGTGCCTCTTGATAAACGGAGAACCCCTCGACTGGAGCGACTCTCTCTGTGAGCTCTGGTCAGCGCCTCTGTCTGTTCTTCTCTCCAGGAATGGGTTGGACACTTGGGGACAGTGATCCACACGGCGGCCTGCAGAGACCTGCGCACCAAGTGAGGCCTCCCTCTCTCTCTCTCTCTCTCTCTCTCCTTTCTCATCCCTCTCTCTGCTCTCTTCTCTATTCTGTCTCTCTCGTTCTGTCTTCTATCTATATCTCTATCTAGCTGTCTCTCTTCTCCTTTCTGTCCTCTTGTCTGTCCTCTATATCTGCTCTTTTCTTTCTCCTTTCCCCCTCTTCTCTCTCTCCTCTTGTTTCTCTCCTCTCTCCCCTCTCTCCTTGTTTCTCTGCTCTCTCCCCTCCTCTCTCTTCTCTCCCTCCTCTCCTCTTGTTTCTCTCTCCTGTCTTCTTTCTCTCCCTTTTCTCTCCTCTCGTCTATTCTATCTCTCTTGATCTCCTTTCTATATCTCTATCTAGCTGTCTCTTCTCTCTCCTTTCTGTCCTCTTTCTTGTCTGTCTTCTCTCTCATCTCTTCTACCCTTCTCTCTCTCCTCTCTTCTCTCTCTCTAGCTCTGCTCTTTTTTTTCTCTCCTTTCTCCTCTCTCTCCATTCTCTCCTCTCAGTCGCTCTACTCCGCTCTCTTCTCTCTCTCCCCTCTCACTCCTCTCCTCTCTCTCCTCCCTCTCCCCTCTCCTCTCGCTCCTCCCTCTCCACAAGGCCTTAGCAGTAGCTACAGGGAGCATCACACATACAGTACATATATTTATGAAAACTTCAGGTCTTTAAGATCTTAGCTCCTGACAATGATGAGCTTTAAGTCGCCTCCTGCTTCAGTCAAGTGCTAACTGCTGATGCTTCTCTCTGAAGGTATCCCCATTGGAAGCCAAAACTGCCAAGGTTAGTCTCCTCTGCTTTTGACAGTTCCCAGCCTCACTTATACCAAACAACCAACATCTGAAAAATTATATATTTATTTACTAAAACAGACTTTCCATTACTATTTCATCACCACGATTATGAAGTTTACTATGATTAAAAACCCAGGGAAACCATGTAGCTCAGAGCACACAGAACTTAGTGCAGCACAAGATGTGGTCATAAACATTTCAATAGTAATGGCCATTTGGATTTTTCTTAACATTTATGGATACTGCCTCGGATGGACCAATACCTCTGTTTGTTATCATTGTATTTCCTGTGTTTACTGTTTCTCTGATCTGCGTCTGCGAATCCTGAACTCCCGTAAAGTCGTCTGAGAAAACCTCTGTTGTGTTTTAGGGCTTTCCAAACAGAAATTGAATTGCATGTACTTGTTTCTAAAACATATATTTGATGCATATTTATACATGTATTTATGGTTTTGTTGAGCGTTGATAAGGTTATAATGAGGGTTGTCACGGTATGAAAGGAATAGTTCACCGTTTGTACATACTGACATATGTTCTTACCTTACCTTAGACTAGTTAATACATACCTGTCTGGTCTTAGTCCGTGCGCTCTGTCATGCAAACGGAGCAAAAACTGGAGCACAACCGCAGCCTCCTCTGTATATTTTGTAGCACCAAAAGGTAGCTCCCGCTAGAAGCTACCGAACTCTTCCAAGTGTTCCCTATTAAATGTATATAGTTACGTGACGTGTTACACTGCAAAGTATAGTAACACAGAAATGTAACAGTCGATTTTCTCAGCGGATAAAACGGGTACTATATTGTGAGGCGTAGTAATCTGAGGTGCGCTACGTCCGCGCACTAACTTCTCTCCGGAGACTTCTCTCTCGCTCACTTCCGTCAATAGAAGCAGCGTGACTTGTAATACACACAGTAGCAGCGAGAGAGAAGTCTCCGGAGAGAAGTTAGTGCGCGGACGTAGCGCACCTCAGATTACTACGCCTCACAATATAGTACCCGTTTTATCCGCTGAGAAAATCGACAGTTACATTTCTGTGTTACTATACTTTGCAGTGTAACACGTCACGTAACTATATACATTTAATAGGGAACACTTGGAAGAGTTTGGTAGCTTCTAGCGGGAGCTACCTTTTGGTGCTACAAAATATACAGAGGAGGCTGCGGTTGTGCTCCAGTTTTTGCTCCGTTTGCATGACAGAGCGCACGGACTAAGACCAGACAGGTACGTATTAACTAGTCTAAGGTAAGGTAAGAACATATGTCAGTATGTACAAACGGTGAACTATTCCTTTAACATATTATACTAAAAACAGTTATTGTGACTATGATGGTTTTTGTTATTATCACAGTATTTTTCATTTCAAATACTAAATTCAGATTATGAACCTTAAAAACGATGTAGTAAAGCAGTCTTATCACTCTTTGTTTGGTTCTTGGACTGGTCTCGGACTTGACTTGTCTTGGACTTGTCTTGGACTTCTTGGACTCTTGGACTTGTCTTGGACTTGTCTTGGACTGGTCTTGGACTGGTCTTGGACTGGTCTTGGTCTTGGTCAGCTCCATTTCCCACCAGAGAAGAGCCAGTGTCGGTTACCTAGCAACACAAACTTTACTGTTAGCAGTTAGCATTTAGCCTTTAGCATTAGCCTTTAAACAAACGTTTTTTTCTCATATTTAAAGTTATATTCACCAGCTTTAGAGATTGTTAAAAGTGAGTAAAGGTATGAAGCTTCATAAATTAAATGTAAAACAATCTCAATGATTTGAATAGGAGAAAATTACAAAATGACTTCCTAGTTTTAATGGGCTATATGCACGAGGAGGCGTGACATCAAGGGCGGCTCGTTTACTTCCCAACTCTGCTAACGCTATGGCATTGTGGTGAGTTGTAGCGACTTTATTTTGTAATTATATTGACACATTCAGCTTTGAGACGTGCTTTCTCTGATAGCTTTGACTGTGGCCACTCAGAGAGATTAGTTAACTGAATAAATGAATCTGAATCAAAGAGCACTGCTGTGTGCCAAAGACGCCCATCATCCTCACATTTTAAGTTGATTCCCGCGCACCGCAAATCAAGTCTCGTTATAACTAAAACACAGAAGTAGTGCGTGCATAGAGCCCATTCACCTCCAGACTGGTTACCGTGACAACCCTAGTTATAATCCATACAGCCAGAACACAAACTTGTTTTTTTTTTATCTTGTTTGCTTGGACCTAAGATTTTGACGACGCAGCAGTTTCTCTGGTCATGGTTTTAATTGTTTTTTTTTTTATTTTGTTTTTTTTCCCTGTGAAGCCGCGAGTATGGGACGCCTCACGCACACTCTCGCTCCGACTCCTGGTCTCCCCCGCATCCCTCCGACAAACGTGAGGGATCCTCCTACAAGCCGCAGGGGAAAGCCCACGCTCACCATGTGACCAAGCAGCAGAACTACCACACCAAAGGTACCAGGAAGACCAACCAGAATTCTAACGACATGAGAGATTGAGGACTGGAGTTGTAGCCATATCCAGACTTATTTTTCTTCAAGTTGTAAAAACAAAAATTACTAGTTCTGTTTTTTTTCTCCCCCTTAAGACTTTATTTCAAGGGCCGGGCTTGGAATGGTGTTATTCTGGGCTGCCATGGCTCAAAAAACAGAGATTGGCTACAGGCTATTGTGTTATACCTGCTTTGAATGTTCAACAATGTGTTCCCAGGTCTCTCTCCTCTCTCACCCCTCTCTCCCGTCTCTCTCTTCTCTTCTCTCCCCTCTCTGTCATCTTTCTCTCTCATCTCATCTGTCTCCCCTCTCTAACTTCTTCTTCGTTTCTATTCCATCTCTCCTTTCTTCACTCGCTCCTCTCTGTCCTCTCTCTCTCCACTCTCCTCTCTTCTTTCATCTCTACTCTCCTTTCTCCTACTCACTCTCTCTCTCATCTCTCTGTCTACACTCTCTCTCCTCTGTCTCCCCTCTTCTTTTCTTCTCTACCCTCTCTCTCCTCTACTCTCCTTTCTCCTACTCGCTCTCTCCTGTCTCCCCTCTCTCTTCTCTACCCTCTCTTCTCTCCTCTTTCTACTCTCTCTCTCCGCTCTTCTTTCTCTTCTCTACTCTCTCCTCTCCTTTCTCCTACTCTCTCTCTCCTGTCTCCCCTCTTTTCTCTTCTCTACCCTCTCTTCTCTCCTCTCCTTTTCTCTCCTCTCTCCTCTCCTTTCTCCTACTCACTCTCCTGTCTCCCCTCTTCTTTCTCTTCTCTTCCCTCTCTCCTCTTTTCCCCTATCTCTCCTCCTTTCTCCTACTCACTCTCTCTCATCTCCTGTCTCTCCTCTCTAACCTCTCTCCCCTCTTCTTTCTCTTCTCTTCCCTCCTCTCTTTTCCCCTTTCTTCTTTCTCTCCTCTCCTTTCTCCTACTCACTCATCTCCTTTCTGTCTCCCCTCTCTAACCTCTCACCTCTTCTTTCATCTCTCCTGTCTCTCTTCTCTCCTTTCTTCTACTCACTCTCTCATCTGTCTCCACTCTCCTATCCTCCTCTTCTCCCCCTCCTCCCTCCCTCATCCCTCTCCTCTCTCTTTCCTCTCACACAGCCATACATCTTCCTCAGTATCCGGGTGGTTTTCCTCCGTGCGCTCCGGTTTAGCCCCACCACCCAAAATATCATGCACAATCTATAAAATCCCTCATCGACTGTTGTGACCACAGCTCCTGAAGCGTGGACAGAGAGTACAGCCCTCCACCACTGGGTTACATCCAGTTTAGTTGAGCCAAAACCGGTTTAGATCACGTGACGCCTGTGACGAGAAATGCAGGAAGTGAGCTGCCCAAACATGTCATCTACAGAGACTTCCTCCGGTCGGTACAAATGTCACTTGGTTCAATTGAAATGAGCGGTTTTGACTCGTAATTATAGACTTAGAATCTTAGACTTCAAAACTCTCCTGTTTAGACTTTAAGCTAACTCTCTTTCACCATAACTACACCATCCCCTGTCCGTGCTGCTGTGAACTTTGGATTTTAACTGTAGTTTAACTGTGGTTTAACTGTCTATAAGCCCTCCTTGAGTGTCTAGAAAATATATTATTATTAAAATAGAGTATGTGTAAAAAAAGGTATTCAGACTTTTCAACCAATCTGAATCTTATCAATGGGACCAGATAGGAGCGGGTTTCTAGTCTGCTTTCTGTTTTACTTTTGTGATAATAATTTTATGTCCTAAGTTTTTTTAATTATATAGCACAGTTAATACACAAGGCAACACATAGTGCCAGTCCCTGTGCTCCTCTGAGGCCCAGCAGGAGGCCCATTCTCTGAGTCCCATGAAGCCAGTGCAGAGACCTGAGACCTGGACTATATCTGTAAATATCTGTAAATGTTTAAACTTCTTTGTGTGTTGTAACTTCAGATGTGGATGCCAGGTTTGAACATCCTCCTCCTCGCCGTGCGGGACCCGTGCGGCGGCCCGGGGTCAAAGGTTACCTGGACAAGAAGCACTCAGACGGTTTGTGGATTTAACCTTTTTATTAATATTATGATTAGGTCTTTCCCATGGCTCCTATTGAAACACTGAAATAAAATCCTATATTGTCCAATTACTCCTCCTCTCTATCTTCTTCGCTCTCTCTCTCTCGCTCTGGTCCTTCTCTCATCAGTGACACGCTCTGGTTCCTCTCTGGCTCTGGTCTCCCTGTTTCTCTCTCGCTCTGGTCCCCTGTTTCTCTCTCTGGTCTCTTTCTGGTCTCTCATTACCACCACTACTACATCGACATAATAATAGTTTGTAAAGCTCAAGCCGGTGTCATTGAACATAACCACAATGGCACAGATGTCGTCTCAAAGTCCACTTTTCCTTCTTTCCTCACTCTGAAATTTCAATCTTTTTTGTGGCTTCTCAGGTGCATCCCGTGCTCCTCTAAAACGACCTCATCCTGACTCCAAGAGAAGCACAAACTTTAGAGGGGACGTTCCCAAGAAGACTGCGCTGAAACAAACAAAGACCGCGGTGAAGCCAAACCAGACCAACCAGGTTCATATCCTGCTGTTTTTATCTCTAAGTCAGAGAGAGGCCAGAGAGAGAGGCCAGAGAGAGAGGCCAGAGAGAGAGGCCAGAGAGAGAGGCCAGAGAGAGAGGCCAGAGAGAGAGGCCAGAGAGAGAGGCCAGAGAGAGAGGCCAGAGAGAGAGGCCAGAGCCAGAGAGAGAGGCAGAGAGAGGCCAGAGAGAGAGGCCAGAGGAGAGCAGAGGAGCCAGAGAGAGAGGCCAGAGAGAGAGGCCAGAGAGAGAGGCCAGAGAGAGAGCCAGAGAGAGCAGGAGAGGCAGAGAGAGGCCAGAGAGAGAGAGACCAGAGAGAGAGAGAGAGAGAGAGGCCAGAGAGAGAGAGGCCAGAGAGAGAGAGGCCAGAGAGAGAGAGGCCAGAGAGAGAGAGGCCAGAGAGAGAGAGGCCAGAGAGAGAGAGGCCAGAGAGAGAGAGGCCAGAGAGAGAGAGGCCAGAGAGAGAGAGGCCAGAGAGAGAGAGGAGGCCAGAGAGAGAGAGGCCAGAGAGAGAGAGGCCAGAGAGAGAGAGGCCAGAGAGAGAGAGGCCAGAGAGAGAGAGAGGCCAGAGAGAGAGAGGCCAGAGAGAGAGAGGCCAGAGAGAGAGAGGCCAGAGAGAGGCCAGAGAGAGAGAGAGAGAGAGGCCAGAGAGAGAGAGGCCAGAGAGAGAGAGGCCAGAGAGAGAGAGGCCAGGAGAGAGAGGCCAGAGAGAGAGAGGCCAGAGAGAGAGAGGCCAGAGAGAGAGAGGCCAGAGAGAGAGAGGCCAGAGAGAGAGAGCCAGAGAGAGAGAGAGAGAGAGAGAGGCCAGAGAGAGAGAGAGAGAGAGGCCAGAGAGAGAGAGAGAGGCCAGAGAGAGAGAGAGAGAGAGAGAGAGAGAGAGAGAGAGCCAGAGAGAGAGAGAGAGAGGCCAGAGAGAGAGAGAGAGAGGCCAGAGAGAGAGAGAGAGAGGCCAGAGAGAGAGAGAGGGAGGCCAGAGAGAAAGAGGCAAGAGAGAGAGAGAGAGGCAAGAGAGAGAGAGAGAGAGGGGCCAGAGAGGCCAGAGGCACATGAAAGCAACCTACTGAATTATACGTTGTCAATTGTGGGGAATGTATGTGCAAGTTATTTAAACAGAAACCAGCAACGGCACAAAGGATACAGATGGTTTTTAAATATTGGCCTTTATGGTAGGCAAACGTGAAGAATTCGGCGCCGGCTCATGGTCCGGAGTGTCTGGTCTACCTGACGGAGATCCCCAGAGAGGCCACGGAGCAGGAGGTCACCAACCTGGCCGGATCCTTCGGTCCAATCAACAATGTCCTGATGATGCCCCCTGCTGACGAGGAGGAGGAGGACCACGGACAGCAGGTCAGTCAGAGGGGGGAGGGAGACGAGAGGGGCAGGGAGCGAGAGAGAGACGAGAAGGGCAGGGAGCGAGAGAGAGACGAGAGGGGCAGGGAGCGAGAGAGAGACGAGAGGGGCAGGGAGCGAGAGAGAGACGAGAGGGGCAGGGAGCGAGAGAGAGACGAGAAGGGCAGGGAGCGAGAGAGAGACGAGAGGGCAGGGAGCGAGAGAGAGACGAGAGAGGGCAGGGAGCGAGAGAGAGACGAGAGGGGCAGGGAGCGAGAGAGAGACGAGAGGGGGAGGGAGCGAGAGAGAGACGAGAGGGGGAGGGAGCGAGAGAGAGACGAGAGGGGCAGGGAGCGAGAGGGAGACGAGAAGGGCAGGGAGCGAGAGAGAGACGAGAGGGGCAGGGAGCGAGAGAGAGACGAGAGGGGCAGGGAGCGAGAGAGAGACGAGAGGGGCAGGGAGCGAGAGAGAGACGAGAGGGGCAGGGAGCGAGAGAGAGACGAGAGGGGCAGGGAGCGAGAGAGAGACGAGAGGGGCAGGGAGCGAGAGAGAGACGAGAGGGGCAGGGAGCGAGAGAGAGACGAGAGGGGCAGGGAGCGAGAGAGAGACGAGAGGGGCAGGGAGCGAGAGAGAGACGAGAGGGGCAGGGAGCGAGAGAGAGACGAGAGGGGCAGGGAGCGAGAGAGAGACGAGAGGGGCAGGGAGCGAGAGAGAGACGAGAGGGGCAGGGAGCGAGAGAGAGACGAGAGGGGCAGGGAGCGAGAGAGAGACGAGAGGGGCAGGGAGCGAGAGAGAGACGAGAGGGGGAGGGAGCGAGAGAGAGACGAGAGGGGCAGGGAGCGAGAGAGAGACGAGAGGGGCAGGGAGCGAGAGAGAGACGAGAAGGGCAGATAGGGAGACGAGAGGGGCAGGGAGCGAGAGAGAGACGAGAGGGGCAGGGAGCGAGAGAGAGACGAGAGGGGCAGGGAGCGAGAGAGAGACGAGAGGGGCAGGGAGCGAGAGAGACGAGAGGGGCAGGGAGCGAGAGAGAGACGAGATGGGCAGGGAGCGAGAGAGAGACGAGAGGGGCAGGGAGCGAGAGAGAGACGAGAGGGGCAGGGAGCGAGAGAGAGACGAGAAGGGCAGGGAGCGAGAGAGAGACGAGAGGGGCAGGGAGCGAGAGAGAGACGAGAGGGGCAGGGAGCGAGAGAGAGACGAGAGGGGCAGGGAGCGAGAGAGAGACGAGAAGGGCAGGGAGCGAGAGAGAGACGCGAGAGGGGGAGGGAGCGAGCGAGAGAGACGAGACGAGAGGGGGCAGGGAGCGAGAGACGAGACGAGAGGGGCAGGGAGCGAGAGACGAGACGAGAGGGGCAGGGAGCGAGAGACGAGACGAGAGGGGCAGGGAGCGAGAGACGAGACGAGAGGGGCAGGGAGCGAGAGAGAGAGACGAGAGGGGCAGGGAGCGAGAGAGAGAGACGAGAGGGGCAGGGAGCGAGAGAGAGACGAGAGGGGCAGGGAGCGAGAGAGACGAGAGGGGCAGGGAGCGAGAGAGAGACGAGAGGGGCAGGGAGCGAGAGAGAGACGAGAGGGGCAGGGAGCGAGAGAGAGACGAGAGGGGCAGGGAGCGAGAGAGAGAGACGAGAGGGGGGCAGGGAGCGAGAGAGAGACGAGAGGGGCAGGGAGCGAGAGAGACGAGAGGGGCAGGGAGCGAGAGAGAGACGAGAGGGGCAGGGAGCGAGAGAGAGACGAGAGGGGCAGGGAGCGAGAGAGAGACGAGAGGGGCAGGGAGCGAGAGAGAGACGAGAGGGGGGCAGGGAGCGAGAGAGAGACGAGAGGGGCAGGGAGCGAGAGAGAGACGAGATGGGCAGGGAGCGAGAGAGAGACGAGATGGGCAGGGAGCGAGAGAGAGACGAGAAGGGCAGGGAGCGAGAGAGAGACGAGAGGGGCAGGGAGCGAGAGAGAGACGAGAGGGGCAGGGAGCGAGAGAGAGACGAGAGGGGCAGGGAGCGAGAGAGAGACACGAGAGGGGGAGGGAGCGAGAGAGAGACGAGAGGGGGAGGGAGCGAGAGAGAGAGACGAGAAGGGCAGGGAGCGAGAGAGAGACGAGAGGGGCAGGGAGCGAGAGAGAGAGACGAGAAGGGCAGGGAGCGAGAGAGAGACGAGAGGGGCAGGGAGCGAGAGAGAGACGAGAGGGGGAGGGAGCGAGAGAGAGACGAGAGGGGCAGGGAGCGAGAGAGAGAGACGAGAGGGGCAGGGAGCGAGAGAGAGACGAGAGGGGCAGGGAGCGAGAGAGAGACGAGAGGGGCAGGGAGCGAGAGAGAGACGAGAGGGGCAGGGAGCGAGAGAGAGACGAGAGGGGCAGGGAGCGAGAGAGAGAGACGAGAGGGGCAGGGAGCGAGAGAGACGAGAGGGCAGGGAGCGAGATAGAGACACGAGAGGGGGAGGGAGCGAGAGAGAGACGATGGGGAGAGCGCGGGAGAGACCAGCGAGAGATTAAGATCATAAATACTTAGCATACATTATAAACAGTGAAGATACAATCCTACAGTGGTAGCACCGAAACAGAGCAGAGTTTTTAAAAACGTTTTCGTTGTGGTTCCAGGCCTCCGTGTGCATGATGAAGGCCGAGGACGCTCAGACTTTTGCCAACGCCCCAAACCTGTTGATCAGAAACCGAGTCGTCACGGCAATGGTCGCTCAGGTAACACACGAGGACTTCATTGAGCTAGCATATTAGGATTGTCCGTCTCTGTAGAGGCTAGGGGAGATGTGAAATATATATACGCACATTTATAACTATTGTCTCCTTCCATAGAATCTGGAGAAGTCAGACGCCGACAGGTGAGAACTGAATCCTTTAGAAAAATACTGTGGCGTGAGACTTACATGCTTTTTACCAATCATTAAAATTCCCCTTTTTATTATGTTTTTCAGTTCAGTGCGGCCGGATCAACTCGGGGCTGGGGATCTGAAAACTAAAAATGTATTTACTTTTTATTCACAAACTTGAATCTAATCAATTATAAATCCCCTCACACTGTTTTGATTTAGTAAGTTTTACTCTGGTCTCTCTCTCTCCAGTCTATCTCTCTCCCTTGTCTCCCTCTGTTCTCTCTCTCCCTGGTTTCTCCCTCTCTCCCCCCCTCTCTGGTCTCTTTCCCTGGTTTCTCTCTGGTCTCTCTCTCTTCCTCCCCCCTCTCTCTTTCTCTTTCTGGTCTCTCTCTGGTACATCTCTCTCTCCCTCTCTGGTCTCTCTCCCTGGTTTCTCTCTCTGGTCTCTCTTTCTCCCCCCTCTCTTCTCTCTCTGGTCTCTCTCTTCTCTCTCTGGTCCCTCTCTCTTTCTCCTCTTTCTCTCTAGGCTCTCTTTCTTCCCCCTCTCTTTCTCTCTCTGGTCTCTCTCTGGACTCTCTCTCTTTCTCCCCCTCTCTTTCTCTCTCTGGTCTCTCTCCCTGGTTTCTCTCTCTGGTCTCTCTCTTTCTCCCCCTTCTCTCTGGTCTCTCTCTTTCTCCCCCCTCTCTTCTCTCTGGTCTCTCTCTTCTCACTCTGGTCCCTCTCTCTTTCTCCCCTTTCTCTCTAGGCTCTCTTTCTCCCCCTCTCTCTTTCTCTCTCTGGTCTCTCTCTGGACTCTCTCTCTTTCTCCCCCTCTCTCTTTCTCTCTCTGGTCTCTCTCCCTGGTTTCTCTCTCTGGTCTCTCTCTGGTCTCTCTCTTTCTCCCCCCTCTCTTCTCTTCTCACTCTGGTCCCTCTCTCTTTCTCCCCTTTCTCTCTAGGCTCTCTTTCTCCCCCTCTCTCTTTCTCTCTCTCTGGTCTCTCCCTCTCTCTCTGGTCTCTCTCCCTGGTTTCTCTCTCTGGTCTCTCTCTTTCACCCCCTTCTCTCTGGTCTCTCTCTTTCTCCCCCCTCTCTTCTCTCTGGTCTCTCTTCTCTCTGGTCTCTCCTCTCTGGTCTCTCTCTTCTCACTCTGGTCCCTCTCTCTTTCTCCCCTTTCTCTCTAGGCTCTCTTTCTCCCCCTCTCTCTTTCTCTCTCTCTGGTCTCTCCCTCTCTCTCTGGTCTCTTTCTCTCTCTCTGGTCTCTCTCTCTCTCTCTGTTATATCTACACACACAATAAAGTTGAACATACCAAGCAACATTTTCCGTTTCTCAGAAGGGCGTGGTGTTGATCGATAACCTGCCCATAAACGGTTGGACCGAAGACCAGCTCAGAGCTCTGGCCGAACCGTTTGGTTACCCCGACGACGTCATCGTGGCCCAACAGATCGGAAAGGTACAAAATGTAGCTTTCATTCACACACTTACTTTCTCTACAACAGAAGCTGGACCCGTTCAAAGTTTGAATAAAAGACAAGAAATTCTGCTCCTCGCTCTGAAGGGTAAAAACTCCCTCTGCTGCCACTTGAGTCCCTGTGCTCTTGAGTCCCAGCAGGAGGCCAGTCCCTGTGCTCCTCCGAGTCCCAGCAGGAGGCCAGTCCCTGCGCTCCTCAGAGTCAGACTTGGTTCATATGACACCAACATGCCTTCATAACTTACCCAGAGGGACCAGTGTAATAGTGTCTGTGTTTCAGGCTCTGCTGATCATGCCAGACCTGGAGACGGCTCAGGAGATGGTGAAGGTTCTGTCCTTCAGCTCGGCGTCCATCAACGGACAGAACGTGACCGTGAAGAACGTGCAGCGGAACATTGGACTCCATACGCCCGTAATAATATATACTGCTAATATCTATATACTACTGAAAAATTTATCTTTTGATTGTTTTGTTGTTGAGTAACGAGGATCTCTCTCTCCACAGGCGGCATTGTACAATCTCCTGATGTACGGAGTGGATACTATGGTAACGAGAAACTTCACAAACTCATTCATAAAATGTTCTTATTAGTATGAAATATGCACTGGTCTCTCACTATAACATGGTACATCCTTCTTTCTCTGGTCTCTCTCTTCCTGGTCTGTGTCTGTCTCTCTCTCTTTCTGGTCTGTGTCTGTCTCTCTCTGGTCTCTCTCTCTTTCTGGTCTGTGTCTGTCTCTCTCTGGTCTCTCTCTCTTTCTGGTCTGTGTCTGTCTCTCTCTCTTTCTGGTCTGTGTCTGTCTCTCTCTGGTCTCTCTCTCTTTCTGGTCTGTGTCTGTCTCTCTCTGGTCTCTCTCTCTTTCTGGTCTGTGTCTGTCTCTCTCTGGTCTCTCTCTCTTTCTGGTCTGTGTCTGTCTCTCTCTGGTCTCCCTCTTTCTTCTCTCTCTCTGGTGTCCGGTTCTGTCTCGCCTCTCTCTGGTTTCTCTCTTACTCTTGTCTCTCCCTCTCTGGTCTGTTTCTCTCGGGTCTCTCTCCCCCTGCTATCTCTCTCTCTGGTCTCTCTCTCTTACTCTTGTCTCTCCCTCTCTGGTCTCTCCCCCACTTCTATCACTCTAGTCTCTCTAGTCTGTCTATGGTCTCTCTCTGGTCGCTCTCTCTTACTCTTGTCTCTCCCTCTCTGGTCTCTCCCCCACTTCTATCACTCTAGTCTCTCTCTAGTCTGTCTATGGTCTCTCTCTGGTCGCTCTCTCTTACTCTCGTCTCTCCCTCTCTGATCTGTTTGTCTCTATCTTGTCTCTAGTTTTTGTACGTTTGAATCCAAAGTAAAATCACATTACATTTATTAGTGTTCTGTTTGGCAAAAATCCCTAATTTTGAATTGCATCTCAACAGAGAAAAACATATTCAAATATAAATTTTTGAACACAATCTCAACATCCAAAGCTTTCTTTCTAAACATTCATAATTTAAAACTCTGGCCCTTTGTGCTGGATTTTGATGCAGGTTTTGCTACAATCTGGCAACTCCAGTCTCCACAGTCTCACACAGCTGCAGCCAATCTCACACACAATATCCCACACACCTTTCCCACTGACAGTATTTAAACCTGGAGCAGCTAACTTTGAAACCACAAAAATATGACGATAATAAACTAAATGTAGCTGGTTCTTAGCTTTAAAACACCCTTGTCTCCTGGATTTAGACGTTTGTTTTCAGGTCTAATGCTAGAATCTTGTAGTGTCTGAGGAGAAACCAGCTGCTGCCAATCTGCCATCAGCGCTGGTTCGGCCTCAGATCTCAGAGACCTCAGAGAAATGTAAAGACTATAGTGATTTATTCTGCTCACACAAACTGAAAAATATCAATAATGAGAATTTTAGAGGTCAAAAACAACTCATTCTTTATATTTTGTAGCTGGTAGAACAGTGGTTTTTGATTCTCATTTGAGTGACTTTTGAGTGACTTTTCCTCAACATGTATAAACAAGCAGGTTTCTTTGTGTTTATTTTTATGGTCAAATCAACATAATTATTTTCGGTCTGTATGTCCTTGTAAACTAGGAATAGGTTTTGTGCAATTCTAGTGTTTCTTTTCTTGGTAAGAGGTTTAGACAATTTTATCATAACAATCACAGCTTTAACCATTCTAAATCTGCCGGCAGTTTCAGACCCATGTCCTGTATCCTCATTTGGAGTCTTGGTCAAGTCTGCGATGGTCCAGACTTGACATAAACCCGGTGTGTTCATTCAGATCCTGTTTGTTCTGTGTCTCAGTCCTGTGTCCCGCTGGTGTCGTGGGGGAAGTTGATGGTCGTGTCCAATGTCCCTCCGTCCAGCGCCTCCGTCGTCCACAAACTCGTCAGCCGCATTGGGACCGTGTGCAAGAGCCTCGTCCTCAACAACAATGTGGTAATTATTTCAATGTATTTGTGTATAGCCCTAAATCACAACAGTCGTTCGTGCTCTCAGCTGCTCTTGTTGTGAATTTGATACAGGTATTTTAATGGTGGGAGAAAAACGTCGCGATTATTTTCAGTATCTCGATGTTTTGCAATTAAATCGACTGTAGAGCAAAGTATTGTGACATTCAATTATATATTTATCTGTGTTTTCTCTTTGAGTTTAGAGAGAACTTTAGAAATGTACATCTGTGTATTGCGTCCACACGGTCAGGCTTGTTGCAGTTTTGTTTTTGTGTATTCCACAGTAAGTTCAAAAGAAAACTGCTTCATCACAGCCGGTTCTACACAAAGATCGCAATATGTTAAAAATCGCGATATTTTGGCCACAATTATTATTTCTGCGATAATATCGAATGGTCACATTTTTGCCAATTCCTTCCTACTGCATTTATTAAGCTTTGTATGGGACACAAAGTATACGGTCACTCACTCATTCTCTCCCTGGTTTCTTTCACACTTTTACTCACTCATTCACTCACTTTCTTTAACATGGACAATAGTCTTCTTTTCAGCAGTTGCCTCTTCTTCAACTCTGCCTCTTTCGCCGCTTTGCAACATTTTCTTCCTGATATTCTTTTCTGAGTAGCTTCATAAATTGTAACAGATTTGAACATGTTTTTAATTCATCTGTTGAAAATAGTGTAGTGTTCACCTCCTGTGTTTGTCCACGAGGCAAAGTTATCAAGAATACATTATATCCCTGGACTGGATATTTTTGCCCTTTTTTAAGACCAGAGAAAGTTTAAACATGTCTAATCCTTGTGTTGCAGGTGATCTTTGAGATGGCCACAGCTCCTCTGTCCTTCGCAGCCTTCAGACATTATCTGAGGTTTCCCTGCATGATCCAGAACAACCCACTGGTCTTCTCCCGCCGACGAGATCACAAAAGCTCCACCAACGTCATCCCGGCTTTTCTCGACGCAGACAAAGTGAGTCTCTCTCTCACTCTAGTCTCTTTATCCCTCTTGTCTTTGTCTGTTTTTTTATTTTCTCTGTCTTTCTCTCCCTCGCCATCTCTTGTATCTCTCTCTTGTCTCTGGCTCTTGTCTGTCTCTGGCGCTCTCTCTCGTCCGGCTCTCTCTCGTCTGTCTCTGGCTCTCTGTCTCTTGTCTGTCTCTTCTCCTTTTCTCTCTCGTGTGTGTCTCTCATATCTTTGTCTCTGGCTCTCTCTTGTCTCTCTCGTCTCGCTTTCTCTCTTGTGTGTGTCTCTCTCATCTGTCTCTCTGTCTCTTGTTTCTGTCTCTTCTGTCTCTTGTCTGTCTCTCTCGTCTCTCACTGAGGCGGAGAGGGAGGGGCCAGAGAGACCAGGTCCTGTTTTTTGCCTTGTGTTAATTCAACCCCTTTTTGTCTTAGAGAATTGAGAATATCCAGTACTTTAAACAAAAAATATCATTGAATTATTCAAAAAAGTAAAGTTTAAACCATTAGGAAACATGCTGTAGGTCTAAGCCGCACCTTTCCCGACCCGGAGATGATGCTCTCTGGGCCTGTGTGTTACCACTGGCTCCTGTTTGTCCAGAGCAAATAAAGAACTTCAGATACATGCTGTTTGTTCACTCTGTATATGGCCTAAACGTTCAGTGTCATTTTCAGCAGTTTTAAATGATTTCAACCCAGTATTATGGTTTAAACGTGACCCAAATATTTATCTCTTCTTCTTTAGGACGTCCCTGAAGATAAGGAGGCTCCAACAACCTCAGCAGAAGCCAAACAAGCAGAGACTAGTGACAATTCGAAGACAACGACAGAGACCGAAGATGTGGAAATGAACTGCGATCAGACCGAGGAGACTGTCGCGGCCGAAAAGGAGATTCCAGACGCCGTTGTCAAAGAAGAACCCATGGAGACTGAGGCAAATGAGACGTTAGCTGTAGCAGAGATAGCAGCCAAAGCAGAGGTAGATGCTAAAGTTGAGGTAGCGGCTAAAGCTGAGGTAGAAGAGATGGCGGCTAAAGCAGAGAAGGAGGAGCCTGTGGTAAAGGACCGAACCATTGATGAAGGTGGAGTCGAGGTTATAACCGTAGAAGCAAAGACTGATCCACCCACTCAACCAGCCGCTGTCGCCCAAGACGCTAGCGCAGGAGGAAAAGCCCCAAAGGTAAATGGTGTCAATGTTCATTCAATGGCCTGTATACAGCTGTGTGTGTGTGTGTGTCTGTGTCTGTATAGGCAGATAACTCTAGTCTCAGTACAGTATACATGCAGACTCAGACCTCTTGTCCCAATTTTCTGATTCTCTGTCCTTCATGGAGGGCGAGCTTTTGACTTAAAATCATCTTTTTTGATCCTTTCCTCACAGACCGTCTCCGCCGACAAAGTGACTCCAGTAAAAGCACAGAAACCGTCCGCTCCGTCGTCTCAGAAAGGAAGATCTCGTGAGAAAAGCAAAGACCCGTCTCAGAAAGGAAGATCTCGAGAGAAAAGCAAAGACCCGTCTCAGAAAGGAAGATCTCGTGAGAAAAGCAAAGACCCGTCTCAGAAAGGAAGATCTCGAGAGAAAAGCAAAGACCCTACTAACAGCAGGGAAGACGACCGCCGCAGATCTGAACGCGAAAGGTAATGTCGAAAATAAAAGTTATTTTCATTAAATCAGGACAAGTATTCCAATCCAGAGATGTTTTCTAGTCTAAACAACAGATGTCACTTGAATAATGGGTCTGGTCTTCTACTTGTCTTGTACTGGTTCTTCTTCAGCTTTCAATCAGAGCACTAGTTACCATAGCAACACACTGTTTACTGTCAGCCTTTGCATTTTGCCTTTAGCATTAGCCTTTAGCAACAAACAAAATACGAACCACTTCTGACACCAGGTAAAAGTGATTAAAGGGGATATTATTGTTGTTTGATCAAACTGGAAAACATTGACGGTAGTTCCTGATAGTTAATTTTTTGTTTGACTGTTTTTACTGCCTTTATGCTTATTATTTATCTATTTTAGAACTAGCCAGAGGAGGACCAAGGAGTCCGACCGAGACCGTATCCGGAAAGACGACCACGACGACAGAAGGAAACGAGACCACGAAAGGGACCGGGACCGAGACCACGACAGAGACCGGGACCACGTGAAGGACCGACACCATGGGGGTCGGAGAGGATGCTACCGGAGCGAGGAGTCCAGGAAGGAGTGGAGGCGCGAGTGGGCCCGGAGGGAGGGGCAGAAGAAGCCTTTTGTAGACGGTGGCAACGACGACGGCCGGAACAGACGATCCCAGAGAGAGAGGGAGGACCGGCTCAAGGACAGCAGAGAGGTGGGTAATGAGGGGAGGGTAGAGGAGAGAGCGTGTGGACGGAGAGAGCGTGTGGACGGAGAGTGTGTGGACGGAGAGGGCGTGTGGACGGAGAGTGTGTGGACGGAGAGAGCGTGTGGACGGAGAGAACGCGTGGACGGAGAGAGCGCGTGGACGGAGAGAGCGCGTGGAGAGAGCGCGTGGACGGAGAGAGCGCGTGGACGGAGAGAGCGCGTGGACGGAGAGAGCGCGTGGACGGAGAGAGCGCGTGGACGGAGGAGAGCGCGTGGACGGAGAGAGCGCGTGGACGGAGAGAGCGCGTGGACGGAGAGAGCGCGTGGACGGAGAGAGCGCGTGGACGGAGAGAGCGCGTGGACGGAGAGAGCGCGTGGACGGAGAGAGCGCGTGGACGGAGAGAGCGCGTGGACGGAGAGAGCGCGTGGACGGAGAGAGCGCGTGGACGGAGAGAGCGCGTGGACGGAGAGAGCGCGTGGACGGAGAGAGCGCGTGGACGGAGAGAGCGCGCGTGTGGACGGAGAGAGCGCGTGGACGGAGAGAGCGCGTGGACGGAGAGAGCGCGTGGACGGAGAGAGCGCGTGGACGGAGAGAGCGCGTGGACGGAGAGAGCGCGTGGACGGAGAGAGCGCGTGGACGGAGAGAGCGCGTGGACGGAGAGGGCGTCTCACTACAGACAGTGTTATCGTCAACAGCTGATTGGCTGAACTCTCACATGAAAAAGCAAATCCTAAGCTGTGTCTCTGCCTCACTGTCATCACCAAAGAGGCATAGCATTTGATATAGACACATTTAAGGCTCTAAAAGCTTCCAGATATGACGTGAGAAGGAGTCACGTGACCAAATTTGGACTCTCACCGTATTAAATACACCCCAAGACCATTCACTGTTGGGTTCAATGTTGGCCTTGGCGAGCCAGACCGCGAGTCATGAGAGCTGTTTTTGTTACGGTTTCACAAATGGCATTCAAATATCTTAGTGTTTGTTTATCTGCAGAGAAGTAATAACATTTTCCCCGAACGACCGTCAAAACATCTGTTGGAGAGAAGCCTGTTGAGGCAATTGTTTTACAGTTTTATAGTTTATAGAGATACTCACATTTGACGATGCGTGAACGTGCGAGGTGGAAAGGTAGTTGTATGACATTGGCTCAAATGTGGAATTAGAATCCAGTCATCTCAGTCCTGCACGGCCTCAGTCGTCGATCTGCAGGCCGAGTCCTCGATCTGCAGGCCGAGTCAAGAACATTTATTAACGTTTTGTTTAAATCTTTAATCTGTTGTAGACTCATTTACAACTGTGTAATGTCCTCCAAGATGGCTGCTGCTGTGATTTAGGTCTATATAAAAATGCATTGAATTAAAGTGAGTTACCAATGTAGAGAATCATAAAGTATACAGGTCCGAGCACTGAACCTTGTGGGACACCGTGAGACAAAACATAGTAGCTGCTAAAACCACAGTTCTGGATATCTGGGCTCTTGAGCGGGCTCTTGAGCGGGCTCTTGAGCGGGCTCTTGAGCGGGCTCTTGAGCGGGCTCTTGACCGGGTCTTTAAAATGACAAAACCTGAGGATTCCCTGCTGTCGTATTCAACTATTAATATTATCAATAATTTCATCAGGAGGAGGACTTCCCTTTTGACCTGAGCGATTTTGTGACGGTGGACGAAGTTGGCGACATTGACGTTGAAGTTGCCAATGCCGCACTCGAACTGGGACCAGAACCAGAGCTGGCATTAGGACCAGGGTTGAAACCAGAGACCGAATCTGAACCAGGACTGGGACCAGAGACGGAGACTGAAGCTGCATCGGAACCAGGGTTGAAACTTGACACCGATTCAGAACCAGGACTGGAACCAGAGACACAACCCTCATCAGGGCTGGGACCAGAACCAGAACTGCAACTAGACACAGAACCCGGATCAGAGCTTGGACCTGAAGCAGAACTAGAGGAACTGAGAGAGGAGGCTCCGGAGACAGAGAAGGTCAGATATGCTTAATGCGGCCGTTAAATTTATGTTATTTTTAAACCGGGGATATTTATGTGTAATTCGTCTTTTATTTTTAGATCCAGGACGCAGAGGCACCAGAGCAGACGGAGACCATAGAAGACACCCCGGAGCAGCAGGAGGAAACCATAGATGCAGCTGTTTTAAATGGTGATTATGAAATGACTCTGTACAGTGTGGTCTGGGACAGGAAGAAGCTGGAACAGGTCCTCAGGAAAACCAGATCAGTCCTGGGCTGTTCCCTGGACGAACTTCTATGCTGGACCATGACTGTCGCCCCCTGCAGGACACTCTGGAGAGCAGCTTCAGTGACAGACTTATACACCCTCGCTGTCAGACTGTACAATGAGTGTAGTATTTTCAACGCTTCTTTGCTTTTGGACAGACGTGAAGGAGCAGGACCCGAGCGGTGACATCACAGCAGTGGCGAGCGGTGACATCACAGCAGTGGCGAGCGGTGACATCACAGAGGACCCGTGTGCGTCTGCTTCGGAGGAAAACATGGAAATGGAGCCGCAGGTACGAGTGACGAGGAGAGAACTCAAGTCTGTTGTTTATCTAATGTGATATTGTCTTCGTAAAACCAGATTTGAGCCATGTATGGATTGGGGTAAACTCCTGCTCGCCTTAGCAACCACCTTAGCAACACATCTGCCTCTATGTCCCTGGTCCCTTCCTTATGATGGAGATGTTTTTGTTGAATAATTTATGTGTACATCATAGAACGACTGGTCTCATGAGTTGCCTTTTCTCTCTGGTCTCTCTCGGTCTCTGTCTCGATCTCTCTCTCGATCTCTCTCTCTCTCTCTCTCTTTCTCGGTCTCTCTCTCTGTCTCTCTCGGTCTCTCTCTCTGTGGTCTCTCTCTCTCTGTCTTTCTCGGTCTCTCTCTCTCTCTCGGTCTCTCTCTCTCTCTCTCTGTGGTCTCCCTCTCTCTCTGTGGTCTCTCTCTGCTCTGTCCCTCTCTCTCTCTGTGGTCTCTCTCTCTGCTCTGTCCCCCTCTCTCTCTGTGGTCTCTCTCTCTCTCTCTCTCTCTCTCTCTCTCTGCTCTGTCCCTCTCTCTCTCTGTGGTCTCTCTGCTCTGTCCCCCTCTGGTCTCTCGCTCTCTCCCCGGGCCACCCGCTTTCTCTGGTCTCTCTCTGTTTCCCTCTTTCTCGTTCTGGTCTCTCTCTCTCTCTCTGGTCTCAGTCAAAATGCCTCCATTATGTAAACATATAATCAAAGAAACCCACTGCACTGACCGTCGCCCTGATCATAATAGTGTTTACTGATTTACTTCCAGGTCTCGGCTACAGTCTCAGTGAAGGAGGAAGTGACCAAAGCACCAGAAAACACAGAGACTACGACTAGTGCGCCACCTGCTGGTACGTTTTAGTCCAGTCTCATTGTCTTATCTCTGCACTTTCTCACATGGGTTCTAATCTAAATAAACTCGTAATGATTTTTTTTTAAAGCTGAAATTGTCAAATCAGAAAATGGTGAAGAAGCCCCGATGGAAGATTCTCCTCGTGACAAAAGCCTTCCCCCGTTTAACGGCAACAGCTCCGTGGGTGAGGACGGAACACCTGCAAACGATTGACTCTGGGCTCTCTCTGTGTCTCTTTCTCTCTTGGCCTGTCTCTTTCTCTCGGTCTCTCTCTGACTCTCTCTGACTCTTTCTCTCGGTCTCTCTCTCACATACTCTGTCTCTCTCTCTGACTTTCTCTCGGTCTCTCTGACTCTTTCTCTCTGTCTCTCTCTCACATACTCTGTCTCTCTCTCTGACTCTGTCTCTCGGTGTCTCTCTCTGACTCTTTCTCTCGGTCTCTCTCTCTGACTCTGTCTCTCGGTCTCTCTCTCTGACTCTGTCTCTCGGTGTCTCTCTCTGACTCTTTCTCTCGGTCTCTCTCTCTGACTCTTTCTCTCGGTCTCTCTCTCACATACTCCCTCTCTGTCTCCATCTCTACTGACCTATTGAATCCTAGTAAAGAATACTAATGAATCAAAATCAAACTATTACACACACTAGAGTAGAAGGATCCCCAACGTTTGGAGGAGCTGATGTCTTTGATCTCGTGTGTTGCTGGTGCAGGTTTGGAGTTCCTGGTGCCGATGACTGGTTTCTTCTGTAAAGTCTGCACTCGATTCTTCACCGGAGCCAAAGAGGCGCAGATCAGCCACAGCAGAACCTTAAAGCATTACGAGAACTTAGAGGTGAGTTCTAAAGCACTGGGTCTGGGCCAGAGACGAGAGAGACCAAAGACTGTCTCTATCTCTGGTGTCTCTTTCTATGTTCTCGCCCTTTCTCTGGTCTCTCACTTTCTCTGGTCTCTCACTTTCTCTGGCCTCGGTCTCTCTCTGGTCTCTCTCTCTCTGGTCTCTCTAACTCTCTGGTCTCTCTCTCTAGTCTCTCTCTCTGGTCGGTCTCTCTCTCTCTGGTCTCTCTCTAGTCTCTCTCTCTCTGGTCGGTCTCTCTCTCTCTGGTCTCTCTCTAACTCTCATAATTCCTGTGTTTTTCAGAGATTCTTGAAGTCCTCGAGCTCTGCTGAAGGCGGCTCGTCCTGATTTCACGTTCATATATTTTATACGTAGACTTTTCCATTCCCTTCATTTTCACTATTTAACTTAAACAGGTTCTGATGAAAGAGTTTATGTCATTTCATTTTTTAAGTATTTCCCGCTGATGTTTATGTCCACAGAACATTTAATATCAATAAAATGAGATTGGAATCTGAATCTGACTGTTTTTTCTTTTTGGTTATGTTCATCTTTTTATTTACTTTCATGTGGTTTTTCTCTTCTCTATGAGAGACCAAGAGAGGGAGAGAGACCAAGAGAGGGAGAGAGACCACTGCACTCGTCTCTAGCTTTAGACCTGCTTCAGACCTGCTTTAGACCTGCTTCAGACCTGCTTTAGACCTGCTTTAGTCCTGGTTTAGACCTGCTTTAGACCTGCTTTAGTCCTGGTTTAGACCTGCTTTAGACCTGCTTTAGACCTTAAATAAACTCCAGAATACAGCTGTTTCCATGGATCATTTCCACAACTTAGGAAACACGACAGTATCCTCTGTTCACACGAGTTATTCAAATAACATGGAAATTCACCCAGGATCAATTTACAGATGATGAATCTGTCTGCTTTAGACCTGCTTTAGACCTGCTTTAGTCCTGCTTTAGACCTGCTTTAGACCTGCTTTAGACCTGCTTTAGTCCTGCTTTAGACCTGCTTTAGACCTGCTTTAGACCTGCTTTGGACCTGCTTTAGACCTGCTTTGGACCTGCTTTAGACCTGCTTTAGACCTGCTTTAGACCTGCTTTGGACCTGCTTTAGACCTGCTTTGGTCTCTGCTCCAGTCTTTGCTTTAGACCTGGTTCAGTCCTGTTTCAGTCGGCACAAGTGCAGGTGAGCACTTACAAGAAACATTTAGACCAGAAAGAGAGCAGAGACGAGCTGAGGGACCAGAGGGGAGACCAGGGACAAGAGGGACCAGAGGGGAGACCAGGGACAAGAGGGGGACCAGAGGGGAGACCAGGGACAAGAGGGACCAGAGGGGAGACCAGGGGACAAGAGGGACCAGAGGGGAGACCAGGGACAAGAGGGACCAGAGGGGAGACCAGGGACAAGAGGGACCAGAGGGGAGACCAGGGACAAGAAGAGGGACCAGAGGGGAGACCAGGGAGGAGCTGAGGGACCAGAGGGGAGACCAGGGACGAGAAGAGGGACCAGAGGGGAGACCAGGGACAAGAAGAGGGACCAGAGGGGAGACCAGGGACGAGAAGAGGGACCAGAGGGGAGACCAGGGACAAGAATAGGGACCAGAGGGGAGACCAGGGACGAGAAGAGGGACCAGAGGGGAGACCAGGGACAAGAAGAGGGACCAGAGGGGAGACCAGGGACGAGAAGAGGGACCAGAGAGAACACAGAAAGACAAGTGTGAGAAATTGAGACCAGAGCGAGATCTACATGTATTTTTAGTTGTTTAAAATCCAGATTCCTCTGGGCTTCAGCCCCGTCATCCCAGTTTATGGTCTGATCTCTCTCAGTCCGTTACTCTAGTCTCTATCTGATCTCTGTTTTCTCTCTGGTCCCTCTCTCTGTCCTCTCTGGTCTCTCTCTGTCCTCTCTGGTCTCTCTCTGTCCTCTCTCTCTGTCCTCCCTCTGGTCTCTCTGGTCGCTCTCTGGTCCCTCTCTCTGTCCTCTCTGGTCCCTCTCTGGTCCCTCTCTCTGTCCTCTCTGGTCCCTCTCTCTGTCCTCCCTCTGGTCCCTCTCTCTGTCCTCCCTCTGGTCTCTCTCTGGTCCCTCTCTGTCCTCTCTGGTCCCTCTCTGTCCTCTCTGGTCCCTCTCTCTGTCCTCTCTGGTCCCTCTCTGTCCTCCCTCTGGTCTCTCTCTGGTCCCTCTCTGTCCTCTCTGGTCCCTCTCTCTGCCCTCTCTCTCTGTCCCCTCTGGTCTCTCTCTCTGGTCCCTCTCTCTGTCCTCCCTCTGGTCTCTCTCTGGTCCCTCTCTCTGTCCTCTCAGGTCCCTCTCTCTGTCCTCTCTGGTCCCTCTCTGTCCTCCCTGGTTCCTCTCTCTGGTCTCTCTCTGGTCCCTCTCTGTCCTCTCTGGTCCCTCTCTCTGTCCTCCCTCTGGTCTCTCTCTGGTCCCTCTCTGTCCTCTCTGGTCCCTCTCTCTGTCCTCTCTGGTCCCTCTCTCTGTCCTCTCTGGTTCCTCTCTCTGGTCTCTCTCTGGTCCCTCTCTGTCCTCTCTGATCCCTCTCTCTGGTCTCTCTCTGGTCCCTCTCTCTGTCCTCTCTGGTCCCTCTCTCTGTCCTCTCTGGTCTCTCCCTCTGGTCTCTCTCTGGTCCCTCTCTCAGTCCACTCTGGTCCCTCTCTCTGTCCTCTCTGTTCCCTCTCTGTCCTCTCTCTGTCCTCCCTCTGATCTCTCTGTCCTCTCTGGTCCCTCTCTCTGTCCTCTCTCTGGTCCCTCTCTCTGTCCTCTCTCTGGTCTCTCTTTCTGGTCTCTCTCTCACAATCCTGTGGTCCGATCTCTCAGTCGATCCTCAAATGTGGAACTCCACGTCTGCTGGTATGTACTTCTACCTGGTCACTGCGTCTGTGGAATACTCCGTGGCCTTCCCTGTGAACCTGTGGGCCTTTGTCTCCATTGTCTCAAACCGAAGACCCGCCGTGGAGCGAGAGGTGCTGATCCTGAACCTGCTGCTGAGCGAGATCCTGTGCTCGCTCTGCTTCCTCCTCTGGCTCCTGCAGTTCTTCACACCGATGTCAGTCTTCACTCCACTCATTAACTTCTACCAGGTAGGTTTCTGGCTCTGGCCTCTCTCTGGCCTCTCTCTGGTCTCTGCTTTCTCTCTCTGGTTTCTCCCTGGTCTCTCGTCGGGGTCTCTCTCTGGTCTCACTCTGGTCTCTCCCTGGTCTCACTCTGGTCTCTCCCTGGTCTCTCTCTGGTCTCTCTCTGGTCTCTCCCTGGTCTCACTCTGGTCTCTCCCTGGTCTCTCTCTGGTCTCTCTCTGGTCTCTCTCTGGTCTCTCTCTGGTCTCTCTCTGGTTTCTCCCTGGTCTCTCGTCGGGGTCTCTCTCTGGTCTCACTCTGGTCTCTCCCTGGTCTCACTCTGGTCTCTCCCTGGTCTCTCTCTGGTCTCTCTCTGGTCTCTCCCTGGTCTCTCTCTGGTCTCTCCCTGGTCTCTCTCTGGTCTCTCCCTGGTCTCACTCTGGTCTCACTCTGGTCTCTCTCTGGTCTCTCTCTGGTCTCTCTCTGGTCTCTCTCTGGTCTCTCTCTGGTCTCTCTCTGGTCTCTCTCTGGTCTCTCTCTGGTCTCTCTCTGGTCTCTCTCGGGTCTCTCTCTGGTCTCTCTCTGGTCTCTCTCTGGTCTCTCTCTGGTCTCTCTCTGGTCTCTCTCTGGTCTCTCTCGGGTCTATCTCTGGTCTCTCTCTGGTCTCTCTCTGGTCTCTCTTGGGTCTCTCTCTGGTCTCTCTCTGGTCTCTCTCTGGTCTCTCTCGGGTCTATCTCTGGTCTCTCTCTGGTCTCTGCTTTCTCTCTCGGGTTTCTCCCTGGCCTCTCATTGGGCTCTCTTGGGTCTCTCTTTCGGGTATCTGGTCTCACTCTGGTCTCTCCCTGGTCTCTCTCTGTTCTCTCTCTGTTCTCTCTCTGGTCTCTCTCTGGTCTCACTCTGGTCTCACTCTGGTCTCTCTCTGGCTCCTTCAGTTCTTCACACCGCTGTAAGTCTTCATGTCTATCATTAACTTCCATCAGGGCTCCATGTCTGTGGCCCGGACCCTGTTCCAGTGGCACCTCTGCACCGACCGCTACCTGGCCGTGGTCCATCCCATAATGTTCATCAGGTAATGCTAGAGTTGTAGCCATGGTAACGGCCAAATACAAATAGATGAGCAAAGACGATACAATCCAACAACCTTTAATATCTATGGTTTCTGGCTCTGGTCTCTCTCTGGTCTCTCTCTGGTCTCTCTCTGGTCTCTCTGGTGTCTCGTTCTCTCTCTCTCTCGTCTTTCTCGTTTCTCTGGTCTCTGCTTTCTCACTGGTCTCTCTGGTTCATCTGGTGTTTCTCTCTCTGGTCTCTCTCTCTTTGTCCCTGAGCACTTCCCTATTGGGGTTCCATTGAGCTAGCGGGTTAGCATAGTCCGTCTGTGTACAGGCCATGATTTGGCAAAGTTAAATATGTGTTTATTTCTGGTTCTGTCTCAGATACCGACAGGTCCGGTACCGTGTGGCCTGCCTGGTCCCTCTGTGGACTATTGCTACAGGTAAGAGGTGATCAATCTGTTTCTCAGTACCATCGGTAACGGTTACCATCAGTAAAGTTAGCTTAAACATAAGAAGACAAATTTAACTTTTTACATTTAAGAAATAATTTGTTTTAGAGCTTTTCTGGTCTCTCTCTGCTCTCTCTGGTCTCTCTCTGGTCTCTCTCTCTGCTCTCTCTCTGGTCTCTCTATGGTCTCTCTCTGGTCTCTCTCTCTCTGCTCTCTCTCTTGTATCTTTCTGCTCTCTCTCTCTACTCTTTCAGCTCTATTTCTCCTCTCCCTCTAGTCTTTCTACTCTCTCTGCTCTTTCTCACTGCTCTCTTTCACTGCTCTCTCTCTGCTCTCTCTCACTGCTCTCTCTCTCACTGCTCTCTCTCTGCTCTCTGCTCTCTGCTCTCTCTGCTCTCTCTGCTCTCTCTGCTCTCTCTCTCTGCTCTCTCTGCTCTCCCTCTCTACTCTCTCTCTGCTCTCTCTGCTCTCTCTCTCTCTACTCTCTCTCTGCTCTCTCTCTACTCTCTCTCTCTCTGCTCTCTCTCTACTCTCTCTCTCTGCTCTCTCTCTGCTCTCTCTGCTCTCTCTCTCTCTACTCTCTCTCTCTACTCTCTCTCTGCTCTCTCTCTCTACTCTCTCTCTCTCTGCTCTCTCTCTACTCTCTCTCTCTGCTCTCTCTGCTCTCTCTACTCTCTCTCTCTGCTCTCTCTCTGCTCTCTCTCTCTACTCTCTCTCTGCTCTCTCTCTCTACTCTCTCTCTGCTCTCTCTCGCTCTCTGCCTCTCTCTCTGCTCTCTCTCTCTCTGCTCTCTCTACTCTCTCTCTCTGCTCTCTCTCTCTGCTCTCTCTCTCTCTCTCTCTCTCTCTCTCTCTCTCTCTCTCTCTCTGCTCTCTCTACTCTCTCTCTCTCTGCTCTCTCTCTCTACTCTCTCTCTCTGCTCTCTCTCTCTCTCTCTCTCTCTCTCTCTCTCTCTGCTCTCTCTCGCTGCGTACAGTTGCAGTCACAGATTCTCTCTCCTCTCTCAGTCTGTGGCCTGAACAGCGTGTACTTCCCCATGAGTAAGATCCTGGTGTCTCTTGGAGGTCTCTGTGTCCTGGCCCCCTCTCTCTCCACCGAGACCATGTGTAGTCTGGCCATTGCCCGGACCCTGAGAAGACCGGGTCCAGGGTCCAGAGAGAGCGGGGGTAGCGGGCAGAAGAGGAGAGCGGTCCGGATCACGGCGCTGCTGGCCCTCATGGCGGTCCTCAACAACATCAGCTTCATTCTCTTCCCGGTCTTTGACAAGTCTTCCCACGAGGATTTTTTCCCGGTGGCTCTGGCTCTTGGTACCATGGGAAGTTCTACACATGGTTTTTTATACATGAGCCGAGCCAGAAGGTCCCAGCGCAAGTAGAAGCAGATCTGATTTCACAATATGTTGTCTCTGGTCTCTCTCTTTGGTCTCTCTCTGGTCTCTCTCTGGTCTCTCTCTGGTCTCTCTCTGGTCTCCCTCTGGTCTCTTTCTAGTCTCTCTCTAGTCTCTCTGGTCTCTCTCTGGTCTCTCTCTGGTCTCTCTCTGGTCTCTCTCATGGTCTCTCTCTGGTCTCTCTGTGGTCTCTCTCTGGTCTCTCTGTGGTCTCTCTCTAGTCTCTCTCTGGTCTCTCTCTAGTCTCTCTCTAGTCTCTCTCTGGTCTCTCTCTGGTCTCTCTCTGGTCTCTCTCTAGTCTCTCTCTAGTCTCTCTCTAGTCTCTCTCTGGTCTCTCTCTGGTCTCTCTCTGGTCTCTCTCTGGTCTCTCTCTGGTCTCTCTCTGGTCTCTCTCTAGTCTCTCTCTCTGGTCTCTCTCTGGTCTCTCTCTCTGTTCTCTCTGTGGTCTCTCTCTGGTGTCTCTCTGGTCTCTCTCTGGTCTCTCTCTGGTCTCTCTCTGGTCTCTCTCTGGATCCCGTGAAGACGGGGTCTAGGGTCCAGTGAGAGCACCGTGGGAAGTTCTACACATGTTCTTTGTACCTGAGCCGAGCCAGAAGGTCCCAGCACCAGCACCAGCAGAGACTGTGATGTCGCACCAGGAGGAGACTCAAGGGAAGACCCAGGACACACCGAAGAGGGACCAAGGACAAGATGTGGCCCGGGGGCAAGCTCCGGCCCGTTCCACATTTCCATGTGGTCCCAGAGTCTGTTGCTTATTTAAATGATTAATGATTTAAGGACATCTATGTAAACATTTATGAACATTTGGCTCTGCTGCTCATCGACCAATGGCTCTGTGTGTTTTTGTATCATTGCATTTCCTTTAATTTATCTGAGTTGGTGATATATATATATATATTTTTTTGTTTAGGTCAGAATTGTCTTTTTTTATTATTATTATTATTATTAAAAAAGACAAACTTACATTTACAGCGAAACATACAATGATGAAGACAAAAACATACATATTTACATTATATACAGAAAAAAAAGACATTCACAATGGGCGTGATAAGAAATAAGGTATTATATGATTTTATGATTTTAATGACTGATATTACAGAGAAGGGGAATAAATATTGAAAATTAGAATATAGGAGGGCGTTAAACGGATGCATGAGTTTTTATTTTACTGTGGAATTGTCCTTGATGTTCTCCCTGTCGAGTCCCGCCATGAGATTTGCTGGCGCTGCTTTTCCCAGAGATCACTGCGGTGAGAATAAATAAATAAATAAATAAATAAATCGAAGGGTCCAGCATCACTTCCTCCAACGCAGACGGGAAAAACCTCACCGGGAAAAAGATGGCTTCTCTCTGCATTATTTATATATTTATAATCCTCACATTCCCGACAAAGCTCGTGAACACTTCTATCATTTATACGAGCTCAAACAGCCTCTTCCTCCTCCTCCTCATCCTCCATCGCTCTGGTTTCTTTCATCGTAAATGACGCGTTTTCTGAAATGTGTGTCATTCTCCACGATCCGTCTGCGGCTGCGCGCGGATCCAGGGTCAGTGTTCATCGGAAGAGGGGGTCTTTGTTCAGGACTGAGGCTGAACTCAGATCTGCCTCCTCCTGGACCAATCAGAGCCACGCGCTGGGCTTTAATGCACGCGCGTCAAGTGAGCGATCAGCGAAGCGGAAGTGGCTGGACTGAGTTTGGAAAATAAAAGTTCAGTCTGATTTTCCTCAAAGAATCACACATGAAAGTTTTGATTCCATATATTTAGTGAATTACGGTTACAGCTAATGTTGCTTGTTTTGACTTGACAATAACAATAATGCATATACTTATTTTAAACCGTTTAAAATTATGTAATTCTAGTATTTCATCCTAAATTCATTGTATTTGTGTAATGCCCCGAGAGCGGCCATCTTGGAGAACTTCTCACAGTTCTTGATTTACCAAAAACAGATCAGAGAATCAAACAGTTTAAACACAGGAAATGCAATACAATGCAGTTGACAATGACTCATTGAGGATGACGAGGGTCTAGATCCAGGATAAGATAAGATAAGATGTGCTTTATTTATCTCACAGAGGAGAAATGTACATGTCACACACTCAGATTGTGCAAAGAGAGGAAATGTGCAAACATGTTACATGCAGGATATATATGTACAATAAAAGTGACAAGTGTCAATTGGAAACAGTGTCAATAGTAGTGCAGGTTTTCACACAGTGATCATTTAAAGTGACTTATTGTACAGTCTGACAGCGGTGGGGATAAAGGCCCTGCGGTAGCGCTGCTTCCTACACTGAGGGTGTCTCAGTCTTCCACTGAAGGAGCTCCTCAGCTCCTCTACAGTCCTGTGCAGTGGGAGGTGTTGTTCATGATGGAGGTGGCTTTGGCTAGCACCTCCTGTCCCTCACCTCCTCCACAGAGTCCAGGGGCCTCCTGTCCCTCACCTCCTCCACAGAGTCCAGGGGCCTCCTGTCCCTCACCTCCTCCACAGAGTCCAGGGGCCTCCTGTCCCTCACCTCCTCCACAGAGTCCAGGGGCCTCCTGTCCCTCACCTCCTCCACAGAGTCCAGGGAGCAGCCCAGAGTGGAGCTGGCCCTCCTGACCAGCTTGTTCAGTCTGTTTCTGTCCCGCTCTGTGCTGCCCGGGGCCCAGCACACGGCAGCATAGTAAATGGCAGAAGCTACCACAGAGTCATAAAAAGTCCTGAGCAGAGGCCTGCTCACTCCGAAGGACCTCAGCCTCCTCAGAAGGAAGAGGCGACTTTGGCCCTTCTTGTGCAGGGCGTTTGTATTATGGACCAGTCCAGTTTATTGTTAATGTGAACACCCAGGTACTTGAAGCTGTCCACCAGCTCAATGTCCTCCCCCTGGATGTTCAGCAGCGTGTGGGAAAGTGGTTTCCTCCTGAAATCAATCACCATCTCCTTGGTCTTACTGGTGTTCAAGCACAAGTGGTTGCGCTCACACCAGTCGACAAAGTCCTTGATAACCGACCGATATTCCAGTTGGTTCCCCTCAGACACACAGCCCACGATGGCGGAGTCGTCGGAGAACTTCTGCAGGTGACAGCTGTGTGTGTCGTGTGTGAAGTCTGAGGTGTAGATGGTGAAGAGAAACGGTGAGAGGACAGTGCCCTGAGGGGCCCCAGTGCTGCAGACTACCACCTCAGACTCACAGCTGCGCAGCCGCACGTACTGTGGTCGGTCTGAGAGGTAGTTGATGGTCCATGCAGTGAGGTAGTTGATGGTCCATGCAGTGAGGTAGTTGATGGTCCATGCAGTGAGGCTACTGTCCACTCCCGCGTCCTCCATCTTCCCCCGCAGCAGTGCCGGCCTGATGGTGTTGAAAGCACTGGAGAAGTCGAAAAACATGACCCTCACAGCGCTCCCGGCGGGCTCCAGGTGGGAGAGCGTCCACTGCAGGAAGTAGATGACGGCGTCCTCTACTCCGATGTTGGGTCTGTAGGCGAACTGCAGCGGGTCCAGGGTGGGGCTGACCACAGAGCGGAGATGGGTGAGGATGAGCCGCTCCATGGTCTTCATCAGGTGGGAGGTCAGTGCGACTGGTCTGTAGTGAGCCGGTTCCTTGGCGTGTGCTGTTTTTATCACACAGGAGGTCTTCCACAGGACAGGGACCTTCTCCAGGCTGAGGCTCAGGTTGTAGATGTAGCTGAGGACCCCAGAGCTGGTCTGCACAGGTCCTCAGCAGCCTGGGACTGATCCCGTCCGGTCCTGCGGATTTCCTCAGCTTCAGGCGCTGGAGCTGACTCCTCACCTGGTCCGGTGTGATGGAGAGGGGGGGGGGGCCGGGGTGTACTGTCCGAGGTGGGGGCTGGGGATGCGGGGGCAGGAGGGCCCGGGGCAGCCGGAGGCAGTGTCCACTGGGCGGTGTCCACTGGGCTGGGGACGTGTGAAGAGGTGGGGGCGGGAGGGGGGGCAGATGGAGAGGGGGGAGAATCAAACCAGTTGAAATACTGGTTAAATTCCTCCGCCCGGTGCTGGTCTCCATCCACTGTTCCTCTGGCACTCTGTCCAAGACTCTGTCTGGCGGAGAGGGAGGCGTGGTTAAAGTCTCCGCTGATCAGAATCAGAGTGCAGGGACTGCGGGTCTGGATCTGGGTCACAGTTCTGTGCATCTCCTCACATGCCGCGGCCCCGTCTCCTGACCGGGGGATGTAAACACATAGAACCACGGTGTGTGAAAACTCCCGCGGCAGATACCTGGGTCTCATGCTCACAGTGAGCAGCTCCAGGTCCTGGGTGCATGTACGCTGAACCACATGCACATGCGTCGGGATGCACCACTGCTCGTTCACGTAGACCGCGACACCCCCGCCTTTCCTCTTCCCACTCCCCTCCGCGCAGCGGTCCGCTCGCACAAGTTTAAATCCCTCCAGCGCGACCTCAGAGTCCGGTATATTCCCACACAGCCACGTCTCAGAGAAACACATAAGTCCACATTGTCTGTACTCTTTATGATGGGGGACCAGTGCGGTCAGCTCCTCAGTCTTATTAGAGACGTTCCCCATGAGGATGGAGGGGAGATACGGTCTCTTCTTCCTCTTTCGGCCTCCTCTGGAGCCCCTGCGTCTCCTACGGATCTCCACGGGGATCACCGGCTTATCTGAGGGCCGGAAAGCGGAGTCTCTAAGTCCGAGAAGCTGCTCCCGTGTGTAAACAATGGGACACGCTGGTCTCGTGGCTCTGTGAGCGGAGGACTCAGAAAAAAGTGCCAAAGACATGTTAATCCAGTGAGAAAGTCCACGAGGCTAGGCTTCCCGTGTGCACAATGCACAAATAAACGCTTGCCTACGAAAAATAAAAATAAAAAAGCACATCTACAAGAAATAAATAGAGAAAGGGTCGGAAAGAGAAGAGAGCCAAAGTGACAAGCTGCACAGCGGGAGCTGGTGCCGGAAGAAAAAAAAAGCAAACAAAAAAACAAGGACCGAGGCTGTAGATCCAGGACCGAGGCTGTAGATCCAGGACTGAGGCTGTAGATCCAGGACTGAGGCTGTAGACCCAGGACCGAGGCTGTAGATCCAGGACTGAGGCTGTAGATCCAGGACTGAGGCTGTAGACCCAGGACCGAGGCTGTAGATCCAGGACCGAGGCTGTAGATCCAGGTCTGAGGCTGTAGATCCAGGACTGAGGCAGAGACCAGGCGGGGAGCGGCAGATGAAAGAGGTTGTATCCAGGGGTCTCTTCATCACGTTATGAAACAGACAATGGCAGAGCAGGTAAATAGCAATAAACAGACTACAACTAAAGCCATAATGATAAGAGATAAAATAGAGTCCACCATAGACTATACTTGTCTACACACACTTCCATCCGTGCATAAATGTATTTTAAACTCAAATAAGTTTTCATGGTTTTATTTTGAAATCCCAACCGGAAGCTGCAGTCTGCCTCCTTCGCTGCTTGGCTCCAGTGCGCGGTGATGGTGGAGCTCCCGAAGAGTCTGCACCGGGATTATCCACCGCGACACGGCCCCAAAACATCCACAATTCCACCTCTTCTATCGGACCTGCAGACCTCCACACCCCGGGCACAGCGTCTCCTCCAGGCCGGGTTCAGAGGTGAGTCTCCGGCAGAGGCTCCTCCCGTGGCCCGCGGTCCGCCTGGTACTGACAGCTCCAGAGACGCACTAACTCTGCACCACACTCCGAATCCGCGATCACAAAGCCTCTATTCGCCTAGATTATCATGTGTATGTGTTATATATATGTGTGTGTTATATATATGTGTGTGTTATATATATATATGTGTGTGTGTTGATTTGTATATATGTGTGTGTTTGTATAGATTTGAGACGCGGTAGATGTGTGTGTTTTATACAGGGTTAGAATGAACGCAATCATAGAAAACCTTTGGATGTGTTTGTATGTATTTGTGTGTGTGTGTGTTTGTGTGTGTGTATAGATATATATTTGTATGTGCATGTAATGAATATGTGTGTGTTTGTGTCAATGTTTAATGTATGTATGCGTAGTGTGTATATTTAATAGTTACCTAATGTAACTTAAGTTCTACGAATAGGTGCGTAGTGTGTGTGTATGATCCACATATAGGTCATAGCATTAATATTATGTGTGTGTGGTGATGTCATAGCTACTATCGGTGTGTCAGTCTTTCTGTGTGTGTGTGTGTGTGTGTGTGTGTATGGATGCATAATAACACAAACACCATTTAAAAACACTATCGTCAGACATATATAAATGTATTGTTTGTCGTCAGCGTAGACTGTGGTAAACATGTGACACTTGCTCCTGTCCTCGGGTAAATAATACTTTTAGATCAGTGGAAATAGCTATTTATGAACAAATACATCCTTATCCAGATCTTACTTTGTTTTCTATGTTTTTCAGCAGTGACATCATCAAAACGATTGTATTTCAATTTCAGGTCAATTCAATGTTTTTATGTGTTTTGTTGTTGTACATGTCACAACAGCAGTCGTCCCGAAGTTCTCCATTCGCCAACGACAGATCAGAGAATCAAAAAAAACACAGGAAACACACACAGGAGCCATTGGTGCATAGTCAGCGGGACGACCACTGTCCACAAATGTCAACACGGTTCCAGGCAAACTGCGGCCCCGGAGCCACGTGCGGCCTCTTTCACATCACTCTGAGGCCCGCGACCCCTTCACAGCTGTTGATAGGATCTTTATAAGTTTACTGGTTCATCAAGTTAATGACTAAAACAGCCGCCTTTCACAGGAGGCTTTATAACACTATATGTAAATGATGAATTAGACGGTCCGACCAATTCCCAACGCTAATGCACGTGCTATTGCTAACAATGCTAACGTTGCTAACTCTCTTCTGTCATGTTGTTCAGGTTACCGCTGACCGCTTAACGATGGCACACGGAGACACAGGCCGACGCTGCAACCAGCAACAACAGAGTGACATGTTCTGGATAAACTCAAACCATTTGGAACCATGAAAACGGATCCTTCTCAAGACGTCATCCATCACATCCTCGGAGCCTCTAACTTTAAACGCATGGCTATGGATTATCTTCTCTGGCCACAATGAGGATCGCAGCTGCTATGTTGTGTTTTAAAAGGACTCCCCAAGTCTAACGTTTTTTGCATATTAAAACAAAAGGATGCATCTTGGCTTCGTTTGGAGAAAGCCTGGAAGCCGTAACTCACAAACCGTGGTGTGATATTTTAGCACAATGAAAAGGGTAAACACCAGGATGAGTTCAACCAAGACGTCTCAGAACATTTTGTGGTAGATTTGGCTCCAATGATGAGGAACTATGTATTATGAAGCGATGGGGAAGAGGAAGCGACTTTGATCCGGTTTTCATGGCCACACCCACCTCAAGACTTTTAACTCGAGAAATAGATTGAGTTTGGATGGTAACGCTTCGTCTTCTGGTTGGTTTTGGTGACTTGGAAGCCTCTGTTCTCTGAAAATCTAGATTTTTTGGTTGATTTTTGATAACTTGGAAGCCTCTACCATCCGAAATTTGGATATTTAGGTAGATTTTTGACCATTTAGAAGCCTTTGCCCTCTGAAATCTAGATTCTTTTGGTTGGTTTTGGACTACTTGGAAGCCTCTACCACCTGAAATCTGGGTTTTTAAGATGGTTTTTGGTCACTTGGAAGCTTCTACCACCTGAAATCTGGGTTTTTAAGATGGTTTTTGGTCACTTGGAAGCTTCTACCACCTGAAATCTGGGTTTTTAAGATGGTTTTTGGTCACTTGGAAGCTTCTACCACCTGAAATCTGGACTTTTTAAGATGGTTTTTGGTCACTTGGAAGCCTCTACCATCCGAAATTTGGATATTTAGGTTGATTTTTGACCATTTAGAAGCCTTTGCCCTCTAAAATCTAGATTCTTTTGGTTGGTTTTGGACTACTTGGAAGCTTCTACCACCTGAAATCTGGGTTTTTAACATGGTTTTTGGTCACTTGGAAGCTTCTACCACCTGAAATCTGGGTTTTTAACATGGTTTTTGGTGACTTGGAAGCCTCTACCACCTGAAATCTGGACTTTTTCCGCATAATTGACCACATTTGTAACTATATCTCTCATTGGCAATCCCAGACTTTTTCCAATTTGTTTTTTCGCCTACGCGTTTTTGGCACAATGTCGCTCCAAGCCGCCGCCGCCGCCTGCTCTGAAAGGACTCCTTCCCCGTGACCTTCCTGTACATATTTCCTGGCGGTAGTTTCCGGTGGTGAAGCGGCGTGAGGATGGATTACCACGCAGAGTGCTGCTTCTGCGACCCGGAGGAGGACCTGCCCCTTCACAGCATCCACGCCCCAAACCGCGTCCGCCCGTCCTCCTACCGGGCCCTGCGCAGCGCCGTGTCCAGCCTGGCGCGCATCGACGACTTCTACTGCGAGAAGATCGGCTCAGGGTTCTTCTCCGAGGTCTTCAAGGTTAGATTTGTTTTGAGTTAGATCCACATTAGTTTCGGAAACATGCAGTAACGGTGGCTTTTGTTCTTGGGGTCTGAGATTAATCAACGTAACTTTGACTTGAAAATGGACAAAAATGAATTTAAAAAACAGATAATGTGCTAAAACCAAAATACACAGTAACACACACACACACACACACACACACACACACACGTACAGAAACAGACACGCACACAAACACACACACATGCACACACACACACACGTACACAAACAGACACAAACACACACACACACACATGCACGCACATAAACACACACACACATACGTACACAGACAGACACGCACGCACATAAACACACACACACATGCACGCACACAAACGCACACACAAACACACAAACACACACACACAGGCACGCACACATGCACACAAACACACACATGCACACACACACACACGTACACAAACAGACACAAACACACACACACATGCACGCGCATAAACACACACACACATACGTACACAGACAGACACGCACGCACATAAACACACACACACATGCACGCACACAAACGCACACACACACAAACACAGGCACGCACACAAACACACACACATGCACACACACACACACGTACACAAACAAACACAAACACACACATGCACGCACATAAACACACACAAACGCATGCACACACACACACACACACACGTACACAAACAGACACGCACACAAACACACACACATGCACACACACACACACACACGTACACAAACAGACACAAACACACACACACATGCACGCACATAAACACACACAAACACATGCACGCACACATACGCACACAAACACACACACATGCACGCACACAAACACACACACTGGCTCATATCTGGATTTACAAAGTCAATATTAAAATATCAAATGTTTTTATAATGTCTGTTGATGGCTGTAGTTGGTCTTTATTGTGGCAAATATTGGTCTACTTTTTTAATGTAAGTCAATTAGAGCCAGAGAGAGCTGGAGCAAAACTTCATCCATGAGCACTTCCCTGTTGGCCTTCATTGAGCTCGCAGGTTAGCATCGTCCATAGTATCAGGAGCTATACATGAACATCATGTGGGGTCAATATGGAGACATGGCAAGTTTATTTGTGTGCTCTGATCGATCCCGACTTGAAGGAGCAGCGTCTCTACTCCAAGCTAACATAATAAGGAGAAAGTCTAAAGCAGATTGATCTCTAACTACTGAGAATAGTCCTCGCTCTCACCTTCATTTGAAATCCCTTTAACTAAAGCTGCGGGAGGCGGCACGCACCGTCTGAACCCTGTCCTCAACGCTAAAGTGTTCATCTGAAACTTCATCTTCTACTGCTTTTATATAATATGAAAGTACACAGGAGGGTTTCTCCACATTTTAGGAAAGAACCGCCCCCTACACTTTTTTGAACAAAACTCTCTGGTCTGATTGGACGAGCACGCATCAGCAGAATGATTGACCGTTGGGAGGACCAATAGCCTTTATGATCCACATCATGTGCATGCCGGTATTTGTCTTAAAGAAAGTGGTTTATTTTTGTAATTGTCAGAAGAAATAACTACTTAATAATTGGTGGATTGGTGTCCATTTCATTTAGTAATTCAAATATTTATTTATTTATTTATTTGAACACAACAGTTATATTGGACAGACCAGATGCCTTTAGTTTCTTAGTAAGACCACGCTAAAGAACGGTCTAAAATGAGCCAAAAGACGCCGCTTTGTGACTATTTTTTGATGAACCAACATTTAAACTGAGTGTCACATCACCGTAGCGTTAGCCTTAAAGGACAACTCACCCTCAAATCCACTTTTTTTTGCTGATAAACGGTATAAATGAGTGTCCAATAGTGTTGTCTACATATCCTGGTCATAATCTTGTCACTTTGGTGCAAATTAGTTGAAAGTTAAACTTTCTGCCTAAAACCGTCTGTGAGGCGCCATCTGCTGGCGACCTGTATTACTACATTTGAATTTTGAATCTGGCGCCAACACTGGCACAGAAGTTGGACCTGACGTCAGCAGCCCCCCGCCCAGAGCAATGTAAACGGCCCAGTCTCGTTCACGCCCCCTTTAGTCCTCCAGGCTACCCCCATTTAGAGGAAGATTTGAACAGGAAATGTGAGTGACTGTGAGATTTCATAACACTTTTAAGCAACTTTTGTTAAAGTTAAACTCATCATTCTATCAATGTGCAGAAGCCAGTACTTTTCCCTTGTTGTGTCTATCTGAAGGCCAAGCTACATGGCACCGTGGCAGCTGCTGATTGGAGGTCTCCATGCCTCCGCTCTGTATAATACACTTGCATTCTGTGTTCGTGTTGTTCGTGCTGTCTCTACCATCGACAATAAAACATGTCTTCTGTCTGAATGAAAGACGCGATCCCAGACTATGTCATCTTCTTCATGACGTAAGCTCCGAGGAGCGGGGGTGAGAACCACTTTAAAGGAACAATATGTAAAAATCTGGCCAAAAGTGGTACTGCAGTCACAGTCAATATTGTGTAGTCCTCTCCCACTCTCCCTGACTCAGGTTGCCAGATACACACCAAATCCAGCAGCAAACACAGGGAATTATTTTATCAGTTGTTTGTCTCCATTCACATTGCCATGAGCCGTGCTAATGTTGAATGAATGTTTAATTTTGTTGTTTTATTTGGACATTTGAGATAAAAAACACAAAACAAAATAAAAGCAATGTAATTATAGATTATCCAAAATAAATAAGCAATTGATTTCCAAAATAGGAGTGGGAAGAATAGATGTTGGAACGTATTTCTTCAGCTCATCAGGGTTTGCTCAAGAGGATATCACCCTTACATTTTATTTATTCCTTATTTTTTAGACAAACATGTATAAGTCCCACATCAAAAAGAGACTAACATTATTTTAATTTTGTACATGTGGTCTTAAATTATTCTTTTTACAATTAAGCTATAATCTGCAAAAAAAAACGTCTTTTACCGTTTTTAGAGCAATCTGTCATAGAATGTGATAACATGCAATTAAATACAAAAAGACTCTGTCCAGAATCGAAGCCGGGTTACTGTGTCGAGAGCGGACAGTCTTAACCAGATCTGGCAACCCGATCACAGACTTACATGACACTTTCTGATTGGCGAAACGGCGGAGGGCAGGACATGAAAATCAAAACAATAACAACTTTTACGGGTCGTCAAACTAATTTTGATAATCAAATATCTCTGAACTGCTGTTATCAGTTAAAGATGTGTTGGAAAAGTAACTTGGACTGTGTGCGTGCGTAAACAGATTTGTGTGTGTGTAATTTGACATTTGTATCTGTAACAGAACAATCTGTGTGTAAATAACCACGTTGTACAAAGAAAAGAACGGAAAAAGCCTAAGTGCTACGCACAGGCTCTGTTTTACACAAATCTCTTTTTGACACACCTCTGCCGCCAGGAGTGTGTCAAAAAGATTTGTAAGTGTAATGTGGTTGTTCTAGCAGTACACCAGCAGATGGTGCTGTTGTAGCTGGTTATAAGCGAACCAAAACCAACTGCCTTGACAAGACACACTACCGCAGCTGTTTATGATATTTTTTTCCTATATTCAAAATCCTGTCACTCACACCACTGTATGACACATGGATCTATTATAATAACTGGATAGGGCGTTACTAGCTTGAAGCTGAAGGATTCTCGCGTACTGCAGACTAAATTCACGTGGGCTACACAGAAATTTTCCCCATAGAACTCAAAGTAAACTAAAACAGCTGACAGAGAACCTACAGCTTTCATAAAGGTCGGATTTTGTGGGGATGTTAGTGTCCCTTGTCGTCCTGAACTTTTCTTCTTCTTAAATCCTTCGGTTTTCTTTAAATCTACACTTTAGTGCCACAAACTCTGCTGGTTTGTTTGCGTGTAGGTAATAACCAGCTACAACAGCACCATCTGCTGGTGTACTGCTAGAACAACCACATTACACTTACGAATCTTTTTGACACACGCTAAGCGGCAGAGGTGTGTCAAAAAGAGATTTGTGTAAAACAGAGCCTGTGCGTAGCACTTAGGATTTTTCCGTTCTTCTCTTCGTACAACGTGGTTATTTACACACAGATTGTTCTGTTACAGATACAAATGTCAAATTACACACACACAAATCTGTTTACACACGCACACAGTCCAAGTTACACTTGCGAATCTGCGAAGGCAGGACTGCGTCAAAAGATTTGTGTGTAAAAAAACTTGTGTGTAAAACATACTTTTTTTTTACACACACACAATAGCTAATAATAATAAAATTAAACCATTAGCTGATAGCTTAGCATTATTTGGTGATTCTGCTGCTGCTGTTGAATACTATAAGTGTCAAGACACTTATAGTATATTTGTGGTTGTTCCTGGTTCTGTCAGTGGGTCACAGTGTGCGGTCAGGACCTGTGCCGAGTAAGTGGATTATAATAACACACACACACACAGACAGAGCGTACACACACACACACACAGACAGAGCGTACATACACACACACATACAGACAGAGCGTACACACACACACACACAGAGGACACACACACATACATAGGACAGACACAGGGCGTACACGCAGACACACACACACACACATGAAGGCAGTTAAGCTGCGTTCATGAAGTTCACAAACGTCTCATTGTTTTGTGAGTTTTGCTGTTTTTGAATCATTGACTGAGTTCAAAGAGAAGTACATTCCTCCAGCTCTTATCACCGCTCCCCTCCTCAAACACACACAGACACACACACACTAACATACACACACACACACACACTACACACACACACACTACACACACACACACACACACACTAACATACACACATAGAGAGGGTACACAGACACACATAATAAAAGTAAATAATGGAAATGTTTGACATCCAAATGTATCTATCCATCTGTCTGTGTCTATCTGCAATGTGAAAGCCAGATCCCAGCAGACTTCTGAAGCTAAGCTGTGCAAGGTCTGGTTAGTACTGTGATGGGAGACCTCTGGGGACACCAGGTGCCACAGTGGGTTGGTGTCAGTGTGTCCTTAGGCAAGACACTTCCCCCACATCAGAATGAGTCTGGTGAGTGTGTGAATGGTTGGTGGTGGTGGGAGGGGCGGGCGGTACAAACTGGTTGCCTCGCTTCTGTCAGTGTGCCCCAGGGCAGCTGTGGCTTCAGTAGTAGTTTATCACCACTGTGTTTGGTGTGAAAAGATAATGACATATGAAGTGTCTTTGTCCAAAACATTACTGTATGAAACTCATTCTCTCACATGATCTATATTATATTTTTTCTATAATCAAATAAAACTCTACTATTTGTACCGTCGTCTTCTCGTCATAAACCGGGTCTAGACGTGTGTTGACGGTGAGTCCGTGTCACTGTGTGGCTTTCAGCAGATCAGCAGCGGCGATGGGAAAAGCCTATTACAGCTCTAATTATACTCTCTCTGCACTGAACTGATGGGCTGAAGACCAGGTGTGTGGTCCAGATCTGGTCCTGTACCATCTATGGTCTTTACTGGAAATAAATAAACAAACAAACAAACCTGGTCCTGGACAGTCCTGGTCCTGTGCAGTCTATGGTCCAGACCTGGTCCTGGACAGTCTTTGGTCAAGACCTGGTTCTGTGCAGTCCATGGTCCAGACCTGGTCCTGTACCGTCTATGGTCCGTCCACATCTAGTCCTGTACTTTGTATGGTCCATCAGCTCGACTCTGACCAGACAGAACCTTTTTTACTATAGTTAGACATTGTTCACAAAGAGAAGTAGATTCTACTTTTTTGTCCCCACGGTGATAAACAGATTCTCTGGTCTCTCTTTCACTGGTGTCCCGGACATGTCCCACCAGGAGGAGACCAAAGAGACCAGAGAGAGACCAGGAGGAGACCAAGAGGAGACCAGATGAAGACCCAGGACACAGAGGGACAGCTCTCTCAGCTGGCCTGGAAACACCTCTGGTCTCTCTCTGGTCCTGTGCAGAGTCTCTCTGGTCCCTGTCTGGTCTCTCTATGGTTTCTCTCTGGCCTCTTTCTGGTCTCTCTGGTCTCTCTCTGGTCTCCCTCCTGTCTCCCTCTGGTCTCTCTCTGCTCTCTCTCTCCTCTCTTTCTGCGCTCTCTCTGGTCTCGCTCTGATCTCCCTCTGGTCTCTCTCTGGTCTCCCTCTGGTCTCCCTCTGGTCTCTCTCTGATCTCCCTCTGGTCTCTCTCTGGTCTCTCCCTCTGGTCTTACTGATCAGATTTAGGGCTTGACATTCCTTGACTTAAGCAGGTTTTTCAAACATGTTTCACTAGTTTAATAACTAACTTCGTGTGTCTCTCTTTCTGTGTGTGTCTGCGTGTCTGTGTGTGTGTGTCTCTCTGTCTCTGTGTGTCTCTGTCTGTCTGTGTCTCTGTGTGTGTCTCTGTGTCTCTGTGTCTCTGTGTGTCTCTGTCTGTCTGTGTCTCTGTGTGTGTCTCTCTGTCTTTGTGTTTCTGTGCGTGTGTCTCTTTGTGTTTGTGTCTCTCTCTGTGTGTGTCTCTGTGTCTGTGTGTGTGTGTCTCTGTGTCTCTCTGTGTGTGTCTCTGTGTCTGTGTGTGTGTGTGTGTGTGTGTGTGTCTCTGTGTCTCTCTGTGTGTGTCTCTGTGTGTGTGTGTCTCTGTGTCTGTGTGTGTGTGTCTCTCTGTGTGTCTCTCTGTGTGTCTGTGTCTCTCTGTGTGTCTGTGTGTGTGTGTGTCTCTGTGTGTGTGTCTCTCTGTGTGTGTGTGTCTCTGTGTCTCTCTGTGTGTGTCTCTGTGTGTGTGTGTCTCTGTGTCTCTCTCTCTGTGTGTGTCTCTGTGTGTGTGTGTGTGTGTGTCTCTGTGTGTGTGTGTGCCTGTGTGTATCCAGGTGCAGCACAGGATGACTGGTCAGGTGATGGCTCTGAAGATGAACACTTTGGCCTCTAACAAAGCCAACATGCTGCGAGAGGTGCAGCTCATGAACCGCCTGTGCCACCCCAACATCCTGCGGTGAGTCCTGGAACCATCAACACATGACACCATCAAGACAAGACACCATCGACACATGACATCATCGACACATGACACGCATAACTCCCTTGTTGGTCTCTCTCTCTCTCTCTCTGGTCTCTCTCTCTCTCTCTCTGGTCTCTCTCTGCTTTCTCTCTCTCTGCTTTCTCTCTCTCTGGTCTCTCTCTCTGGTCTCTGGTCTCTCTCTCTGGTCTCTCTCTGCTTTCTCTCTCTCTGGTCTCTCTCTCTGGTCTCTCTCTGGTCTCTCTGGTCTCTCTCTGCTTTCTCTCTCTCTGGTCTCTCTCTCTGGTCTCTCTCTGGTCTCTCTCTGGTCTCTCTCTCTCTCTGGTCTCTCTCTGGTCTCTCTGGTCTCTCTCTGGTCTCTCTCTGGTCTCTCTCTGCTTTCTCTCTCTCTGGTCTCTCTCTCTGTCTCTCTCTGGTCTCTCTCTGGTCTCTCTCTGGTCTCTCTCTCTCTCTGGTCTCTCTCTGGTCTCTCTGGTCTCTCTCTGGTCTCTCTCTGGTCTCTCTCTGGTCTCTCTCTGGTCTCTCTCTGGTCTCTCTCTCTCTCTCTGGTCTCTCTCTGGTCTCTCTCTGGTCTCTCTCTGGTCTCTCTCTGGTCTCTCTCTGGTCTCTCTCTCTCTCTCTCTCTCTCTGGTCTCTCTCTGGTCTCTCTCTCTCTCTCTCTCTCTCTGGTCTCTCTCTGGTCTCTCTCTGGTCTCTCTCTCTCTCTCTCTGGTCTCTCTCTGGTCTCTCTCTCTCTCTCTGGTCTCTCTCTGGTCTCTCTCTGGTCTCTCTCTGGTCTCTCTCTCTCTCTCTCTCTCTGGTCTCTCTCTGGTCTCTCTCTGGTCTCTCTCTGGTCTCTCTCTGGTCTCTCTGGTCTCTCTCTGGTCTCTCTCTGGTCTCTCTCTGGTCTCTCTCTCTCTCTGGTCTCTCTCTCTCTCTCTGGTCTCTCTCTGGTCTCTCTCTGGTCTCTCTCTGGTCTCTCTCTGGTCTCTCTCTGGTCTCTCTCTGGTCTCTCTCTGGTCTCTCTCTGGTCTCTCTCTGGTCTCTCTCTCTCTCTGTCTCTCTCTGGTCTCTCTCTGGTCTCTCTCTGGTCCATTTGAACATGTTTCTAACAGTAGTACTTGTGTCTGTGCAGGTTCCTGGGTGTGTGTGTTCATGAAGGGCAGCTCCACGCTCTCACAGAGGTACTTCATAAATGAACTGTCCAGAGCTGTGCTCAATCACTTTCACTGTTCCATCTAAATAAATATGGCCGTCTCTTCTTCCATTAAACATATCCATTTGTTCACTTATAAATGGCTTTATAAGTCCGACACTCGGGGAAATATTATTATCAGGGGTGCACATTAGTGGTACGCAGGTACGCATGCGCGACAAATATCAGAAATGTGTACTATCACTTAAGTTAGTGAGCGCTTTTGCGTATTTCACAAATAGACTCCTCCCGAGGGGGAGGTGGTGCAGTGTGGGGGAGGTGGTGCAGTGTGGGGGAGGTGGTGCAGTGTGGGGGAGGTGGTGCAGTGTGGGGGAGGTGGTGCAGTGTGACGGAGCCGTCCGTCTCTAGCTACGTGCACGAATATAGTATCATGCAAGGCTGACTTTCATGCTGCACGCGGCACACACACACCTGCGCGCACACACACACCTGCGCGCACACACACAAACCTGCGCGCACACACACACCTGCGCGCACACACACACCTGCTCGCACACACACACCTGCACGCACACACACACCTGCTCGCACACACACACCTGCTCGCACACACACCTGCTCGCACACACACACCCGCTCGCACACACACACCTGCTCGCACACACACCTGCACGCACACACACACCTGCACGCACACACAAACGCACACACACACCTGCACGTACACACACACACCTGCTCGCACACACACACCTGCTCGCACACACAGACCTGCACACACACACACACCTGCACGCACACACACACCTGCACGCACACACACACCTGCACGCACACACACACCTGCACGCACACACACACCTGCACGCACACACACACCTGCACGCACACACACACCTGCACGCACACACACACCTGCTCGCACACACACACCTGCACGCACACACACACCTGCACGCACACACACACCTGCTCGCACACACACACCTGCAGGCACACACACACCTGCTCGCACACACACACCTGCACGTACACACACACACCTGCTCGCACACACACACCTGCTCGCACACACAGACCTGCACACACACACACACCTGCACGCACACACACACCTGCACGCACACACACACCTGCTCGCACACACACACCTGCAGGCACACACACACCTGCTCGCACACACACACCTGCACGCACACACACACCTGCACGCACACACACACCTGCTCGCACACACACACCTGCAGGCACACACACACCTGCTCGCACACACACACCTGCACGCACACACACACCTGCACTTCCATTCAAACATCCACACGCATCTCTCAGTTACTAGTTCACCAAAGGTACACACTTGTGCGGGTCAGAAATACATCTACACACATTTATCGGTCTGTTGCGCTCCTCTGGGTCTGTGCGCGAGGATCGAACCAGGACATTATTTCCTGGTGGGTTAAATGGGAATTATGCCCATGTGATGTGCGTAACTAAATGTACATGTTTTGAGAGTATAATGATGTAATGTAATTTCTTCCAAAATAATTGTGTCAGTGGGAGGGGCCAGGAGCCGTGTTTGGCACAGTCTGCCGCTGGTTACAGAGGCGTTAACTTGAAACTTAAAGGTGACCTATGTGTCAGTGTGAACTTGTTTTTTGTGTGTGCTAATTTCGTTGTAAACACTCTCTGCACTGCCTCCACCATTTTGTTGCACTCTCGGAGTATAGAAAATAAACCCACCCAAGCACTGGGCTTCGAGCTCGCCTGTTTTATCAAACAGAACATTGTTTGATTTTTTGTTTTGTTTTGCATTTTTAGGAAAGAGACCAGTGAGTCATTATTTGACTTGGATTGAGTGGATTATCTGAGCTGATATAAACTTTAGAATTACAAAGTAGCAAATATAAAATCTCAATTAAAGAAGCTATACCCGATTTTTTTTCTAAGTAGTTCATAAAAATGCTTTTTACTACATACAAGTTGTATCATAATACATCATTTAATTGAAAACTTGAGGTAATTGATTCAGCTGTGTAAGAATTCCAAGCAGTGAAAAGTGCTGAGTAGAGTCTGAGCGGGAGCCTCCACTCACAGAACAAGAAGCGAACAGCCTGCGTCCTCTTGCCTCTACAGTGCCGGGGCTTCGACTTCAAAATTCGAATATAATTCTAAAATAAAAAATGAACAAAATAATTGAATAAAAAAATTTGAACAAATATTAGACAACCCTTGTAATTCGAAATGTATTTAATGACTGTAAATAAAATAGTTAGCTCCCAAAGGTTTCACCGGGACGTGCTAGGCAGGTAACAGCTAAGCTAGCTAGTTGTTTCATGGTAACTTCCGGGTTTTTCGCAATCGCTTTTTGTCACTTTAAAACAGTATTTTTGTCATGAAAACGTTAACAGCAAATTCTGAAATCATCCGTGCATGTGTGTTAAGGATGTATATGTGTACTGTATTGTCCGATTGACGTTTAATGGTGTTGATTGATAGATATGTAGTTGTTTATTGAGCGTGGCTAGCTCCGCTAGCTCCGTTGGCTTCTCTACACAGACAAGTGTGTAGTGACAGGTGCTGAAAGCGTTTTGTACTTGCAGAGTAATGGCAGTATTTTACACACCTGAATTACAAACAGAGATTGCATTGGGGCTTCGGTCATTATTGGTTTGAGAGTTCTGTTATCAAGAAAAATGATCGGAAGAATTGCTGCTGCTGCTTTGAGGAGCTCTATAACACATTATAATTAAATATTAGAATATATTCTAAGGTTTTAAATTAATACATTCGGACGCGAAACTAGTGGTATTCTTGTACTTATATATTGTGTTAGCAGTGCATTGCTTTAGTACCATTTCATCAGTGATTGTTGCACAGCTTACAAGAAGTTGTGCTAATGCTAATGTTAGCATATGTATCAGATCGCAATAAACTAGGTGGCTCTGTGTTATGAGAGCGTAGGGGAAATGAGAAGCCATTGAGCGAGTTGGGGGGCGGTGCTAAACATTCAAACATTGCAGAAACGGGTATAGCGCCTTTAAGAACCGCGCGGCAAATGGTGTGAGTATGGAGCTATTATTTTTTCAATAATATTTGTGTGTGCGTAAAAAGATTTGTGCGTGCGTAACCAGATTTGTGCGTGCGTGACCAGATTTGTGCGTGTGTAACCAGATTTGTGTGTGTGTAAAAGAAATATTTGTGCGTGTGTAAATAGATTTGTATGTACGTATCAAGATTTGTGTGTGCGTAAAAAGATTTGTGTGTGTGTAGAAAGATTTGTGTATGTGTAAAGAAAAAAAAAAGTACGTTTTACACTCAAGTTTTTTTTTTTACACACGAATCTTTTGACGCAGTCCTGCCTTCGCAGATTCGCAAGTGTAACTTGGACTGTGTGCGTAAACAGATTTGTGTGTGTGTAATTTGACATTTGTATCTGTAGCAGAACAATCTGTGTGTAAATAACCGCGTTGTACAAAGAGAAGAACGGAAAAAAGCCTAAGTGCTACGCACAGGCTCTGTTTTACACGAATCTCTTTTTGACACACCTCTGCCGCCAAGCGTGTGTCAAAAAGATTTGTAAGTGTAATGTGGTTGTTCTAGCAGTACACCAGCAGGTGGTGCTGTTGTAGCTGGTTATTACCTACACGTAAGCAAACCAGCAGAGTTTGTGGCACTAAAGTGTAGATTTAAAGAAAACCGAAGGATTTAAGAAGAAGAAAAGTTCAGGATGACAAGGAACACTAAAATTCCCACAAAATCCGACCTTTATGAAAGCTGTAGGTTCTCTGTCAGGTTCTCTGTCAGCTGTTTTAGTTTACTTTGAGTTCTATGGGGAAAATTTCTTTGTAGCCAACGTGAATTTAGTCTGCAGTACGCGAGAATCCTTCAGCTCCAAGCTAGTAACACCCTATCCAGTTATTATAATAGATCCATGTATCATACAGTGGTGTGAATGACAGGATTTTGAATATAGGAAAAAAATATCATAAACAGCTGCGGTAGTGTGTCTTGTCAAGGCAGTAGGTTTTGGTTTGCTTGCCTGTAGGTAATAACCAGCTACAACAGCACCATCTGCTGGTGTACTGCTAGAACAACCACATTACACTTACGAATCTTTTTGACACACGCTTGGCGGCAGAGGTGTGTCAAAAAGAGATTTGTGTGTAAAACAGAGCCTGTGCGTAGCACTTAGGCTTTTTTCCGTTCTTCTCTTCGTACAACGCGGTTATTTACACACAGATTGTTCTGTTACAGATACAAATGTCAAATTACACACACACAAATCTGTTTGGCACGCACACAGTCCAAGTTACACTTGCGAATCTGCGAAGGCAGGACTGCGTCAAAAGATTTGTGTGTAAAAAAAAAACTTGTGTGTAAAACGTACTTTTTTTTTCTTTACACACACACAAATCTTTCTACGCACACACAAATCTTTTTACGCACACACAAATCTTGATACGTACATACAAATCTATTTACACACGCACAAATATTTCTTTTACACACACACAAATCTGGTTACGCACGCACAAATCTTTTTACGGACACACAAATCTGGTTACGCACACACAAATCTGGTTACGCACGCACAAATCTTTTTACGCACACACAAATCTGTTTACGCACACACAAATATTATTGAAACAATAATAGCTCCATATGTGAGTACCAAACACCATGTCCTGGTACTGATCTGAGAACCTCACTTTGGTACCCATGATTATTATTACTTATCCCATTCTAAACCATTGTCTCACTAAAGAATCTCCAATATCCCATCGATCTGGTCCCTCTGGTTCGTTGTACAGTCTGACAGTGTTGTGTGTGCAGTACATAAACTGGGGGAACCTGGAGCAGCTGCTGGACAGTGAGCTGTACCTGTCGTGGGCCGTGAGGGTTTCTCTCTCTCTGGACATCGCTCGAGGACTTCAGTATCTGCACAGCAAAGGCATCTTCCACCGCGACCTCACCTCCAAGGTACCAGCACTGAGACCTATGGTACCAGCACTGTGACCCATGGTACCGGCACTGTGACCCATGGTACCGGCACTGTGACCCATGGTACCAGCACTGAGACCCATGGTACCAGCACTGAGACCCATGGTACCAGCACTGAGACCCATGGTACTACAGTGTGACCCATGGTACCGGCACTGTGACCCATGGTACCAGCACTGAGACCTATGGTACCAGCACTGAGACCCATGGTACCGGCACTGAGACCCATGGTACCAGCAATGAGACCCATGGTACCAGCACTGAGACCCATGGTACCGGCACTGAGACCCATGGTACCAGCACTGAGACCCATGGTACCAGCAATGAGACCCATGGTACCAGCACTGAGACCCATGGTACCAGCAATGAGACCCATGGTACTACACTGTGACTCATGGTGCTACACTGGTCCTTCACCAGACATGGCATGGACTTATTATTACATATACTGCAATATGGAATGCCACCGATTATTCTTTATAGATTGATAAATAGATACGCCAGAAATCTTGGAGAAATAATGGACTCTCTCTCTCTGGTCTCTCTCTCTGATCTCTATCTCTGGTCCCTCTCTCTGGTCTCTCTCTGGTCTCTCTCTCTGGTCTCTCTCTGGTCTCTCTCTCTGGTCTCTCTCTCTGGTCTCTCTCTCTGGTCTCTCTCTGGTCTCTCTCTCTGGTCTCTCTCTCTGGTCTCTCTCTCTGGTCTCTCTCTCTGGTCTCTCTCTGGTCTCTCTCTGGTCTCTCTCTGGTCTCTCTCTGGTCTCTCTCTGGTCTCTCTCTGGTCTCTCTCTGGTCTCTCTCTCTGGTCTCTCTCTCTGGTCTCTCTCTCTGGTCCCTCTCTCTGGTCTCTCTCTCTGGTCTCTCTCTCTGGTCTCTCTCTCTGGTCTCTCTCTCTGGTCTCTCTCTCTGGTCTCTCTCTCTGGTCTCTCTCTGGTCTCTCTATCTGGTCTCTCTCTGGTCTCTCTCTCTGGTCTCTCTCTGGTCTCTCTCTGGTCTCTCTCTCTGGTCTCTCTCTGGTCTCTCTCTGGTCTCGCTCTCTGGTCTCTCTCTCTGGTCTCTCTCTCTGGTCTCTCTCTCTGGTCTCTCTCTCTGGTCTCTCTCTGGTCTCTCTCTGGTCTCTCTCTCTGGTCTCTCTCTGGTCTCTCTCTCTGGTCTCTCTCTGGTCTCTCTCTCTGGTCTCTCTCTCTGGTCTCTCTCTCTGGTCTCTCTCTCTCTGGTCTCTCTCTCTGGTCTCTCTCTTTGGTCTCTCTCTCTGGTCTCTCTCTGGTCTCTCTCTCTGGTCTCTCTCTCTGGTCTCTCTCTCTGGTCTCTCTCTCTCTGGTCTCTCTCTCTGGTCTCTCTCTCTGGTCTCTCTCTGGTCTCTCTCTGGTCTCTCTCTGGTCTCTCTCTCTGGTCTCTCTCTGGTCTCTCTCTGGTCTCTCTCTCTGGTCTCTCTCTCTGGTCTCTCTCTGGTCTCTCTCTCTGGTCTCTCTCTTTGGTCTCTCTCTCTGGTCTCTCTCTGGTCTCTCTCTCTGGTCTCTCTCTCTGGTCTCTCTCTCTGGTCTCTCTCTCTCTGGTCTCTCTCTCTGGTCTCTCTCTCTGGTCTCTCTCTCTGGTCTCTCTCTCTGGTCTCTCTCTCTGGTCTCTCTCTCTGGTCTCTCTCTGGTCTCTCTCTCTGGTCTCTCTCTGGTCTCTCTCTCTGGTCTCTCTCTCTGGTCTCTCTCTGGTCTCTCTCTGGTCTCTCTCTCTGGTCTCTCTCCTACAGAACTGTCTCGTTCGCTGTGACGGGGGACAGTTTTCTGCGGTGGTGGGAGACTTCGGACTCGCAGAGAAGATCCCAGACTACAGGTCAGTGACGGACGGTCCCTTCATAAATGTAAATAAACAATTAGCTAAAGACGCTAACAACGCTAACCTCCAAATCCTCGTTCTCTCAGTGACGGTGTAAACAAACCACAGCTGGCCATCGTGGGCTCCCCCTACTGGATGGCCCCGGAAGTGCTGAGAGGAGAGGTCTATGACGAGAAGGTACAGTTCATACACATTCAACTACATTTATTTATATATCGCCCTAAATCACGAAAGCAGTCGTCTGGGAGGACTTTACAAAGCTGTGGATTCACCAGCAGCAGATCAGAGAATCAAGCCGTTGAAACACATAAGCACATGGGAGAAAGATTAAACGTTATTGTCATTACAGACTCAGAGAATAGACTTTAAAACAGCTCTGCTTGTTACAAGTCTCTCCATGGCCTCGCACCAAAATATATTAGTGACATGTTAGTCCCATATGAACCAGCCCGGACTCTGAGGAGCACAGGGACTGGACTCCTGTTAGTGCCCAGAGTCAGAACTAAACATGGGGAGGCTGCTTTTCAGATTCATGCTGCTAAAATCTGGAACAGTCTTCCTGAAGATGTGAGACAGGCCTCCTCTCTGACAATGTTTAAAACCAAGTTAAAAACGGTGCTGTTTAGCTGTGCATACAACTGAGGGATTTTATATTTTTATCTTTCGTTTTAATGTTCTGTGATTATTTATGATTTTAATGCTATCTTGTTCAGCACTTTGAGTTGCCTTGTGTATGAATTGTGCTATACAAATAAACTTGCCTTGCCTTGCCTTGCATTACAGAATCAGAACAATGGAACAACATGTAGTTTAGCGTCCAACCATTAGTGCAATAACACAAGTATAGGATCACATTTACAACACAAATGTGTTTATGTGTATTTATGAAACCACATGAGTCACTGCTGACATGTACGGACGTAAACATGACACAACAACTATGTATTTATGCACTACAATAAACGGTATTTTACACTTGCTTCTTTATGATGCTAAAGCTAGAGAGTTTATACTAGCTTCTATATTATGCTAAACTAGAGATTGTACACTTGCTTCTATATTATGCTAAAGTTGGGAATTGTATTGTATTTTAGTATGGAGTTATTGTTCAGACTTATTTTATTTCTATGTGAGTAACAAGAAGTCACAAACTAGAAATGGCTTTGGGTCTTGGTGCAAACAAGTTAAAGTTAAAGTTAATTTATCTTGTGCTCCTTATTCCTACTGCTCTTCACACAGAAGCCACCCACGGTTCTTAACAGGCACAGAAAGAACAGTGGGAAACAATAAAACATTATAGGGATAAAACAATAACAAATGTAAAAAAAATATACACATGAATATGCATGTACGTATACAGACACACACACACACATGCATCTGTGATAATAATTATATATATATTAACTGTACCTGCTGATGCAACACTGACATTTCCCCTCCGAGGGACCAATCAGAGGTGACGTGTCTCTCTTCTTCAGGTGGATGTCTTCGCGTACGGCATCATTCTGTGTGAGATCATCGCCAGGATCGAAGCAGATCCAGATTTTCTCCCAAGAACAGAGGTACCAGACTCTGTTAGCGTTAGCTGTTAGCACCAGGGCTCTCCCACAGTCGCTCTGTCATCTCTCACTAAGTGCTAAAACTAGTGAATATAACTTCACCTACAGCAGAAAGACCAGAGAGAGAGACCAGAGAGAGAGACCAGAGAGAGAGACCAGAGAGAGAGACCAGAGAGAGAGACCCGAGAGAGAGACCAGAGAGAGGGACCAGAGAGAGAGACCAGAGAGAGGGACCAGAGAGAGGGACCAGAGAGAGAGACCAGAGAGAGGGACCAGAGAGAGGGACCAGAGAGAGAGACCAGAGAGAGAGACCAGAGAGAGAGACCAGAGAGAGAGACCAGAGAGAGAGACCAGAGAGAGAGACCCGAGAGAGAGACCAGAGAGAGAGACCAGAGAGAGAGACCAGAGAGAGAGACCAGAGAGAGAGACCAGAGAGAGAGACCAGAGAGAGAGACCCGAGAGAGAGACCAGAGAGAGAGACCAGAGAGAGAGACCAGAGAGAGAGACCAGAGAGAGAGACCAGAGAGAGAGACCAGAGAGAGAGACCCGAGAGAGAGACCAGAGAGAGGGACCAGAGAGAGGGACCAGAGAGAGAGACCAGAGAGAGGGACCAGAGAGAGGGACCAGAGAGAGAGACCAGAGAGAGAGACCAGAGAGAGGGACCAGAGAGAGGGACCAGAGAGAGACCAGAGAGAGAGACCAGAGAGAGACCAGAGAGAGGGACCAGAGAGAGAGACCAGAGAGAGAGACCAGAGAGAGGGACCAGAGAGAGGGACCAGAGAGAGGGACCAGAGAGAGAGACCAGAGAGAGAGACCAGAGAGAGAGACCAGAGAGAGAGAACAGAGAGAGAGACCAGAGAGAGAGACCAGAGAGAGAGACCAGAGAGAGAGACCAGAGAGAGAGACCAGAGAGAGAGACCAGAGAGAGAGACCAGAGAGAGAGGCCAGAGAGAGAGACCAGAGAGAGAGACCAGAGAGAGAGACCAGAGAGAGAGACCAGAGAGAGAGACCAGAGAGAGAGACCAGAGAGAGAGACCAGAGAGAGAGACCAGAGAGAGAGACCAGAGAGAGAGAGAGACCAGAGAGAGAGACCAGAGAGAGAGACCAGAGAGAGAGACCAGAGAGAGGCCAGAGAGAGAGACCAGAGAGAGAGAGACCAGAGAGAGAGACCAGAGAGAGAGACCAGAGAGAGAGACCAGAGAGAGAGACCAGAGAGAGGAAGACCAGAGAGGAAGACCAGAGAGAGAGAACAGAGAGAGAGACCAGAGAGAGAGACCAGAGAGAGAGAACAGAGAGAGAGACCAGAGAGAGAGACCAGAGAGAGAGACCAGAGAGAGAGAACAGAGAGAGAGACCAGAGAGAGAGACCAGAGAGAGAGACCAGAGAGAGAGACCAGAGAGAGAGACCAGAGAGAGGCCAGAGAGAGAGGCCAGAGAGAGAGACCAGAGAGAGAGACCAGAGAGAGAGACCAGAGAGAGAGACCAGAGAGAGAGACCAGAGAGAGAGACCAGAGAGAGAGACCCGAGAGAGAGACCAGAGAGAGAGACCAGAGAGAGAGACCAGAGAGAGGGACCAGAGAGAGAGACCAGAGAGAGAGACCAGAGAGAGAGGGACCAGAGAGAGGGACCAGAGAGAGAGACCAGAGAGGGCCCAGACAGAGACCCAGTGCTGTCCTTGTAGCATGTAGTTACTTAGAGTCAGCTGTGATTGAACCTTGTTTCTTTGAGCAGGACTTTGGTTTGGACGTGGAGGCCTTTGAGAACCTGGTGGGAGACTGTCCTCCTGCTTTCTTCAGCCTCGCCGTGACCTGCTGCACCGTGAGTTTGAAGCCGTCTCTCTCTCTGGTCTCTCTATGGTCTCTGCTCTCTCTTGCTCGTCTTTTTCTGGTATCTTTTGTCTCTTTCTGGTCTCCCCCCTCTTTTCTTTCACTCTGGTCCCTCTGGTCTGTCTCTGGTCTGTCTCTGGTCTGTCTCTGGTTTATCTCTGGTCTCTCTCTGGTCTCTTTCTGGTCTCTTTCTGGTCTCTCTTCGGTCTCTCTCTCTGGTCTCTCTGGTCTCTTTCTGGCCTCTCTTCGGTCTCTATCTCTCTGGTCTCTCTCTCGGTCTCTCTCTCTCTCTCTCTTCGGTCTCTTCTCTGGTCTCTCTCTCTCGGTCTCTCTCTGGTCTCTTCTCTGGGTCTCTCTGGTCTCTCTCTTGGGTCTCTCTGGTCTCTCTCTGGTCTCTCTCTTGGTCTCTCTGGTCTCTCTCCTGGGTCTCTCTGGTCTCTCTCTGGTCTCTCTCTCCTTCCCTCCCTCCTTCCTGGTTTGGGTCTCTTCTCAGCTCTCCTTGGGTCTTCTCCCCCTCTCTCTCGCTCCTCTCGTCTGGTCTCCGCTGCTCTTCTCTCTCTCCACTATCTCTCTCCTTCTCTGTCTCTCTCTTCTCTCTCTCCTCGTCCTCTCTCTCGGTCTCTCTGGGCCCTCTGGGTCATCCTCTCGTTCTTTCTGGTCCCATCTCTCTTGGGTCTCCCTTCCTTCCCTCTCGCTTCGCTGGTCTCATCCTCTCCTACGTCCCTCCTCTCACCTCTACTTCTCTTCGCCTGTCTCCCCTCCATCGCCTTCTCGCTCCCTCGCTCCTTCGTTCTCCTGGTCTCATGCTCTCTCTCTCTCTGGTCCATCCATCTCTCGCTCCTGCCTCTCCTCCCTCTCTTGGGTGTCTTCGCCTCTGTGGGTCTCATCTCTGGTCCTCAGTCCTTCCAGCGCTCTCCTCCCCTGCGTTCCTTCCGCCCCTCTCTCTCTCCTCCTCTCTCTCCCTCTCCTTCTCTCTCTCTCTCCCTCCCTCTTCCTCTCTCTCCTCTCTCCTCTCCTCTCTCCTCCTCCTCTTCTCTCCCTCTCTCTCTTCTCTCCTCTCTTCCTCTCTCTCCTTCTCTCTCCCTCTCCTCCCTTCTCTCTCCTCTCTCCCTCCCTCCTCTCCCTCTTCCTCTCCTCTCTCTCTCTCTCTCCTCTCTCCTCTCTCTCTCCTCTCTTCTCTCTCCTCCTCTCTCTCCTCTTCTCCTCTCTTCTCTCCTCTTCTCCTCTCCTCTCCCTCTCTCTCCTCTCCTTCTCATCTCCCTCTCCTCTCCTCTTCTCCTCATCTCTCTCTCCTCTTCTCATCCCTCCCCTCTCCTCTCTCGCTTCTCCTCTCTCCTTCTCCTCTTCCTCTCTCTCCTCTCCCTCTCTTCCTCTTTCTTCTCCTCTCTCTCCCTCTCTCTCTCTCTCTCCTCCTCTCTCCTTCTCCTATTCTCTCCTCTCTCTCTCTCTCCCTCCCTCTTCTCCTCTCCTTCCTCTCTCTCTTCCTCTCCTCCTCTCTCCTCTCTCTCCTCTCTCCCTCTCTCTCCTCTCTTCCTCTCCTCTCCCCTCCTCTCTCTTCTCTCTCTTCCTCTCTCCCTCTCTCTCCTCTCCTCCTCTCCCTCTCTCTCCTCTCCTCTCCTCCCTCTCTCTCTCTCTCCTCCTCTCTCCTCTCTCTCCCTCTCCTCCTCTCTCCTCCTCTCCTCTCCTCCTCTCTCCTCTCCTCCTTCTCTCCCTCTCTCCTCTCTCCTCTCCTCTCTCTCTCCCTCTCTCCTCTCCTCTCCTCTCTCTCCTCTCCTCCTTCTCCTCTCCTCCTCTCTCTCTCCTCTCTCTCTCCTCTCTCTCTCCTCCTCTCTCTCTCTCCCTCTCTCTCCTCTCCTCTCTCTCCTCTCTCTCTTCCCTCTCTCCTCTCCTCTCTCTCCTCTCCCTCTCTCCTCCCCTCTCTCTCTCCTCTCTCCTCTCCCCTCTCCTCCTCTCTCTCTCCCCTCTCCCTCTCCTCTCTCCTCCTCCTCTCCTCTTCTCTCTCCCTCCCTCTCACCGTCCCTCTCCCTCTCCTCTCTCCCCCTCTCTCCCTCTCTCCCCTCCCTCTCTCCTCTCCTCCTCTCCTCTCCCTCCTCTTCCTCTCCCTTCTCTCTCTCTCCTCTTCCCTCCTCTCTCTCCCCTCTCTCCCTCTCCTCCCTCCCGCCTCCTCCTCCCTCTCCTTCCTCCCTTCTCTCCTCTCCTCTTCTCCTCTCTCCCACTTCTCCTCTCCTCTCTCCTCCTCTCCTCCCTCTCTCCCTCTCTCCTCCTCCTCTCTCTCCTCCTCTCCTCCTCTCTCTCCCCGTCCTCCCCTCTCCTCCTCCTCTCTCCTCTCTCCTCCCTCCTCTCTCTCTCTCCCTCTCCCCTCCTCTCTCCTCTCTCTTCCTCTCTCCCTCTCTCCTCCTCTCTCTTCCCTCTCCTCACCCTCTCTCTCCCTCCCCCTCTCCTCTCCCCTCCTCTCTCATTCCCTCTTCTCTCCTCTCCTCTTCCCCTCTCCTCCTCTCCTCCTCTCCTCCTCCTCTCCCCGTCTCTCTCCTCTCTCCCCCTCCTCCTCCATCCTCTCTCCTCCTCTCTCTCTCTCTCCCCTCCTCTCTCTCCTCTCCCTCCCTCTCTCTCCTCTCCTCGCCTCCTCTCCTCTCTCCTCTCCTCCTCCTCCCTCTCTCCCTCTCTCTCTCTCTCATCCTCTCTCTCTCCTCTCCCTCTCCTCTCTTCTCTCTCCTCTCCTCTCTCCCTCTCTCTCCCCCATCCCCCTCCTCTCTCCCCTCTCCTCTGCCTCTCCTCTCTCTCTCTTCTCCTCTCTCTCTCCTCTCCTCTCTCCCTCTCTCCCCCCTCTCC